TAGTACAGGGATCTGCTTCATAGAATCGTTCGTCTTATTTTTTTTTATTCCAGCTTGAGCTCGAGCTCGGAGAGTTTTCTCAATTTAAAGTAATTTTTTGCAGTTGAAATTGGTTTGATTATTTTAGTTAGGGTGCCTAATGTTGATAGGGGACGTGCAACTCCCAGAAATGTTTTAGTTGTTGTTATGAGCATTAATTTCATCAGGTCTCTATCAGTTAGGAAACAAGGAAAGTCTTCTTAATTGACTTTATGCTTGTAATGAATTTCCAATTTCTACAGTAACTTTATTAACATTCAGAACACACCCTCAACTTTATTAACACTTCGCTCAGCATCCATGTTAACATCTGGAAGTAAGCAAGGGTTTATAATGTGTCACTGTAAAAGATACTGTATTGATAAAAATGCAAATGTTTCTCGAAGAACATAAAATGCATGAATAATTAAATGTTGTTGTAAAGTAACCATGTTAAATTTCTGTATATGAAAAATAATTTTGTTACCTGCATATATAAGATGATAGAAGATAAATAAATCATAATGAAAAAAAAGTTTTATTTTCTTATCATTGCTCATTATTAGTTAACATCCAGAACATGTGGTGGCTTTTAACCATAATAAATCCATCGCACAGTGGTTTTTAACTTTAGCAGTTGATTTTTATTTTATCATGTATATTCTTATTCACCATTGGACATAACCCTTACTTTCCCAGTATTTACACAGTACCAATGTGTGATGGCAGAATTAACTGCACATTATTATATATTGGTATAATAATGGGATCTCAACCACAAGGGATCTCACTACAAGAATGAAGGAGCATGAATATATGATAAGAAAGAAGCTTTCATCCACGGCCTTAGCCACTTATTCTGGATGTGAGGGTGTACATGTCAATCTACAGAATACAAGATATTGCTACACAGGGTTTCCGATAGGGCATATCTTAAATACTTTGAGTCAATTGAAATCTGTAGGGCACTTAAGAATGAAGTAGGAATTAATTTCAAAGAAACAGACACATTATCCAAAGCATGGCATGATTTATTTGAACTCTTATAATGTTTTTCTCATATACCTCTTACTAGGTCATGCAGATACAAACTTACAAAAATGAAAATTTAAATTAAATTAGTTATTTGTTTGAAAAATTGTTTGGGAAATTATTATTTCTTAAACTTTTTTTATAAGTTATTCTGAAAATTATATTAAACTATACAGTTTTGTCCATACCATTAATGGTGAACTGCTGTAATTTGAATATTAACTTTTATTTGGTTATAGAAAGAAATTAAGTGAGGTTTTAGGGAGCATACCTATGATATTTAATGGGGGATAGCAGTTTACCACCAGCTTGGACTAGGACAAAAGACACATGTACAATAATGAACATATAGTAGTAGTGGTTTCTTAATAGTAGGGATATGTGGGAAGATTACAGAAAAAATATGTACATAGTTTTATATATTTGATTTTACCTTTATATCTATAACAAGATAGTTTACTTACCTATTCTTATACTATTGCGACAGTTATATAGTTTATCTATAGTTATAAAAGATTGCTTACTAAGTTAATATTAGTATTAAATATAATCTTGAAATTATTTAAAATATTAATTTATTCACTTGATTGAATAGGCAAAAGCCACAATCAGGCAACTTTTGCCATTGGGTTTACGAGAATCTATTAGCAAAGTACGTTCCAGCATTGCCTATGCTATTTCTGCAATTGCACATTGGGATTGGCCAGAGAATTGGCCAGAACTTTTTGATATCCTTATGCATTCCTTAACCAGCGAGGATCATAATGCTGTTCATGGAGGAATGAGAGTATTAACAGGTTTGTAAAATATTTGTTTAAAATTTATTAATTTGCTATATTACAATTAATACCTGTTGAAAAGTTTACTCTAAGAGAGATTCATGAAAAATTAAGTATTTAATAATAATCTTAATTTTCATTCTAAATGAAAAATGTTTTTAGAATGGTAATTAAGANACTTAACCTGGCTGAATACAGCAGCAACCTTCTTGGCCCCCGAAATGTTTGGTGAAGAAAATATGGCCCGCGGGCTATGATAAGTTGGACAGCACTGTTTTAAATTATAACATTCTATCCCTTGTTCTGTTTCTGAATCCATTCTATTAACCTGAAGATGGTTGCTCATAGCAATTAAAAATGCTTGTTTTCCTTCAACATTTTGTTCTATGAGCTGAATTTTTGGTTTTGTAAGTGATATTTATAATTTTTTTGAGATTATTCTGAATACTTACAAATGCATCCTGCAAACTAATTTTCTGGTCAAGAAGTTCATCATCATTTTTTTTTTTTTTTTCATTTCTGGAAGGTCTCTTATGCATGTGAGGAGATTGAAATTTTTTCTTCTTCTATTAATGGTAGAATTACTTGTAATAACTTTTATTCAGAACAAAAGAAGCAGAATAAAATTTGATTTTTCTTGGAAATAAGAAAGATTATTTCTCTTGAACATCAACTGGATAATAGCTTGCCAGACATTCAGAATTAACTCAAAAAATAGATTTAAAAAAGTTTGAAATATTGTAAATGACAGTTTTTGAATGGTATTTTAGAGTTTTTATGACTAGTAGAATAATGCAATTTAAAATTTATAAAATACCATATTAATTTGGTTTTAATTAATTTTTTATGCCATAATTAAATTATTCTTTGCTTTAATTACTTAAATCTTTACAAGATTTCATTTAACACTATAGTCTGTGCAGGAAAGAGTAGACATGAGTCAGTCTGAGCTGGAAAGGTCTATGTCAAATGAATGGAATGGAAAGGAGACATGTGAAAGATTCTGAAACAAAACAGCTGAAAGGATCTGATCTCTTTCAGCTGTTTTGTTTTTTACATTTTTAAAAAATGTTTTTATACCATCTTTATCATTAATAATTTTTATTTACAAGTTTTATTACTGTGATCCATGTGTCATCTCCAACATGTCTTCTTCCAGCTTTTTCATCTGACATAGACCCGTCCTGCTTAGACTGCTCATGTCTACTCTTGCTTTGTAGACTTTAGTATAATTAAATATTTAGGTATTAATGCAAAACAATGTATAGTAAAAAAGTTAATACAGTAAAACCTGTGAGAACAGAACTTTCCTAATATGGAAAGTTGCAAAAGCTACAGTTGTTTTAGTATTATTGTCAAATTTTTCCCACAAAAATTCTAAGGAATATGAGGGATGTAAACAAAGTTATATAGTTACATCTCCATTATTAATTCCTATTAACTGGAGCTCATCAAAGACAAATTTTAAACAATAAGTCTGTATCAATGAAGAGTATTGCTATTTTTGAATAGAGATGGGACTGTGAGACTAGTGAATGGTATCATGATAGATTTCTCTTATTAGCCAACTATGATAGAAAATTTTTGCTGTTTTTGATTTGATATTTAGTTTCAGCAAAATCTTCAGAAAATACTGTTTCCTATTTTTGTCCAAATTTACACTGTATATTATACATGTGTTCCTGGCCTAAGTTTGTTTCAGTTTGAAAACAATGGGAAGATTGCTCTGCTTTCCTGATGCATTGATATGTTTTTAAAAAGAGCATATTGTTGAAAATATTAAATACTACTTGTTAATTAAGACTAAAGTAAATGCAGAAACAGCTAGAAAGTATTGAGCTTAAATTTGAGTGAGTAAAACACCCAAGATTGTGTCTAAAATTTTACATTTTCAATGAGAAAATTCAAAGAAGTTTCACTTAGAATATATGTGATTGGTATGCATTTCTTTTTCTTTGATAGAGAGTATATACATGAATGTATATTTTACTTTGAGTTCCTTTCTATAAATATAATAAATGTTATGTTTAGATTGAAATTTAGTAAAAAAAAAAAGGGGGGGAAGTATGTTCACATTTTGAAGCCATGATCATTTTCTCATTTTCTTCCAGTCTGAAGATGAAAAATTGCTTAAACCAGAAAGCATTCCTTGTAATTCTGGCTTTTGTGGATTTTATTGTGTCTTATGGCGTTAAATTATATTTAAAGAATTAGTACTGTTTTGAAATTTTGCAAAATTATAATTTAAGAATTATCTTTCATAATTAAATTAATGATTTTAAGTTCTTAATTCTTGCCAAATTCAAATGTTTTGTTTAATGCATCAGATTGAGAAAGTCAATAGTTCAATAATGTCAATTTTGTTAATTACAGTCAACCCCCTATAAGATATAGATACGTTCCAATTTATTAGGAATCTGATTTTTTACAAGTCGTTCCAATCACAGCCCGACACGTGTCAAGTTTACGGACTATGGCTGATTGAAAGGTTTTCTTCCGTAAAATTAATTGATTCTACACTAATCCGACTCAACATTTCCAAAATACGTATATTTTTTCGTAGTTTTATAGGAATCGTAATTATAGGGGGGTCGACTGTACAATATATAAGAATTGTTTAAGAATGCATAAGAATATATATAAAACATGTAATATAATCTTATATATGTCTCTTTTACTACACAAACAAATTGAATTTCAGATGGATCTGATAAAGTAATTCTTTAGTTTTGTGGCCTTCCAGACAAACAGGTCATACCATTAAAAAGTCAAATGATGAAAGATCAGTGAAGATATTTTATCATAAAAATATTTTATAAAAGCTATATACATTTTTCAAATTTTTGACATCACAAAATTAATTTTATTCAGTAAGAGGATTGGAATTATATAAGTGATGACAAACTGATCTTTCATACATTTCCATCAATCAGTGACAGTGTTATAAATGAAAATGCAAATATTTTCAGTCTCATTCAGGGGCCAGTGCCAGGCTTCATGGCTGAAAACATTTGCATTATCATTTACAACACTCACTGCTGGAAATGTATGAAAGGTCAGTTTGTTGTAACTTGTCTGTTTAAGATTTAATTAGTTATTATAGTTAGTTCTGATTTTAAAAATAATTGTTTTAAGTTATTAAATTGTTAACTTTCACTTTATTTTTTGTAGAATTTGGTGTTCACTTGGCTGAACTCACAGTAGATCCAAATGGACTTTTACCAATCAGGCAATTGGCGTCTGTTCTCCTTAAACAGTATGTTGAGGTACATTGGTGCCAACATTCAGAAAAATTTCATTCTCCCGAAACAACAGAAGAGGTTTGTTCTACAATTTTAATTTAAACATAAATTTTTTCAATATTTTATTATAATTATATTTTAATAATGTTCTAAGAATAAAATTCTCAATAAATTTCATCTAGTAATTTAATTTTTGTTTGGTTTTTTTAAATTAATTTTAATAACTTTTATAATAATTTATATTAATAACATAAAGCATAAGTTTATTTTAATGAATGTCATAAACAATTATATGTATACTTATGCAGGTATTTTTTTATAGACATGTTCTGTCAGCTGGGTATTTTCATATAACTTTTTAAATTTTATGATTCCAAATATAAGAAATATGACAAAGCTATATAGGAAATATAGGAGAACCAAGATCATTATTTTTGAAAAAAATAGAAAGAAGCTAGATATACAATCATATACTATATACTTTGAGAGATAAATAAAAAGCAATAGGGCATTTTATAAAAACTATTTAATAATATGAAATGTGAAAAATTCACAAAAATGCTGAAGAAATAAAAATAGATTAACTATCTTTAAAATATTATTTCTAAATCAGGTTTTAAAGGGGATAATATTGTTTTTACTCTCAATACAAATGTAAGATTTAACAACAATGATACAAAAGTATTCAATATGTTTTACATTATCAATGTCAATAGTATTGAATGAGTGGAAATTTAAAGAGAGTTTCTGTTCATTATTCTTCAGTTGATATCTAGAGAGAGAGATTATAAAAATTTGAATAAGAATAGAATAAAACTACTATTGATTATCATCAATTCTTACTTATGTCAAGATTGCCTTTTTTGCTTTTTCTGCCAAGTTTAAATAGAGCTACCAACTTTCTTACAGTTAGAAACAAAGGAAGAAATTTGTATGAAATGTATATATAACTACTATGATCAAAAACTATTGGGAATGATTCATTTAAACTGCATGTGTGCAAGAGGGCACTGCTATTATTTTTTGTCATTTGATATGCCTTTCATTGACATCTAGCAGTAATCTGTATGTTATCATCTGTTTTCATTTGCAAATAAATACTTGTTTTGTGTGTAAAGAATTTTTGTGCTGGCAATTTTTCAAAATGTTGAGTATAATTAAGTAAAGAATGTGCATTAAATTGTTTTTGCAATGAAATTACTGTTACAGAAATGTTGGAAATATTGCAAAAAGCCTTTGGCAACAATTGTCTATCAAAAACAAGAATTTTTGAGTGTTATAAAATATTCAAAGAAGGCAGAGAACATGTCAAAGATAAACCATGCTTTGGTAGACGATCCATTTCAACTGATGAATAACATATTTCTCAAGTCAGAGATTTGGTGCTCAATGATTGTTGTTTAATAATTATGGACGTTATTGAATATGTTCCAGTATTATTTGAATCTTGTCAAGCAATTTTAAAAGATTATTTGGGTTTGTAATGTGTCTTTTCTTGAGTTGTTCTGAAAACATTGAATTTTTTCCAAAGATGTGTAAGTAATTGTGGAAATGCTTTCTCAAGGTGAATTGTTCTTAAATTGCATTATTATGGGTGGTGAAACATAGATCTACACTTTTTATACTCAAACAGCTCAACAATCAAGTGAATGGCACTTGAAAGGTGAAGCAAGACCACAATGACTGTCAAAGTAAGTAAAAAACTAAGGTCATGTTGACTGCTTTCTTTGATTGTCTTGGTGTTGTGCATCACACATTCCTTCTGACTGGTCGAACTGTTAACACAGAATATTATTTATGCATTTTGCATTGTTTGTGTGAAGTAATTTATAGTTGCAAAACAATCTGATTTGTGGCAAGGAAACTCATGGATTTTGCACGATAATAATATACCTGCTCATAATGTTCTTGTTCATGAATGTTTGCCAAAAATCAACAAATGTGGTTTTGGAAGCTCTGTATTCACCTGATATGACACTGTGGGACTTTTTCCAGTTTTCTTGATTAAAATTTCTGCTTTGTGGTCGCTATTTTGAGTCAATTGATGCCATAATACAAAATTTGCTGAAAGTTCTAAAGGAATTTCATGAAAACAACTTTAAAACCTATTTTGAGGATTGGAAAAAATTTTGGTATAAGTACATTGGATTTTTCGGAGTGGTTACTTTGAAGGAGATTAAATAAATTTTGATGAATAAATTCAAATCTTTCCATTTGTTGAACCATTCCCAATACTTTTTGATCATATGAGTATTTTGAAACAAATAAAAATATTAAAAAAAATTAAAAATGTGTGATCTTGAGAATTTTCTCAACAGAGGTGCTACTGCTGCATCTAGTCAGCCTGTGAAAATTGTGAGCATTTGGACAAAAATTATTTAAAGAAGTAATTTTGTTTATTTTTTCTGAAAAGAAAGAAAGTAATGTTAAAAAACATATTTATAATAAAAAAGATAATAATAATTATATTTTTATTATAATAGAAATATAATAACAAAAACTTGGTTGCCAAATATTTTTGTTGTTGTTTTTCAACATTTTCCTGTCTAAAATTCATACACAAGAATGTAATTATGCATTATATATTTGTATGAAAAATTAGTTTCCACTTTATGAGTAACTTCCAAGAAAAAAATCTCATAAAGGCAGGAACTATCTGTATCCTATATATATAAAATCATAGTGTTTTAGCAAAAAGAAAGAAAATAAATTGATAAATGATATTAATAAGCATTATAAGATTTAAATTTGCCTTGCATTATTTAGGGGTTGAAAATTTACTGACTTTTTTATTTTTAACTAGTAGCCCGGGACGCCCCCTAGTGGGCGTTCTTTACAATTTTCTATGAGGCATGGTTCCTTTGACTTTTTTGTTCCTACCAATATGCTCTACAGTTCTGTTAAAGTCCCAATGGTAAGATTTACCCTCTGAATGAAGAGGTGGCGACCCCCCCCAAACTGTAGCCCCTGTGCGAACAATAAAGGCAAAGGAACCATACCCCTACTCGCGACCCTTCGCGAGATATAAGCCCCTGAAATAATAAATTCCTATTACAAATATACTGAATTATTTATATTGTTATATTGACCAAATAATAATTTATGGGCCAAATGAATAATAATAATTCATATTGTTAATTTAAATAAGAATTAAAATTGTTAATTTGAATGTTTGAAATATGACACACGATAGGGGCGCCTCTAGTGTCCGTTATCAAACGGTTACGGGACAGACGGACACTTTGAATGGGTTATATATATAGATAGATTAAATTAGATCTCAGTTTAAATTTTTTATGTTATAAATTTGTCATTTTGATTTTTTTTTCATGTATTTTTTCTCTGACGGTCTTATGTAACCACAATATTTAATTGACTGACTTTGATAGATTTTATTTTATTTTTTACTTTCCCGGCTGTTATATTGATATATAACAGAGGGAAAGTTTGGCGATCCGGCAAAAAATGATCCCCCAGATTTTAAAATTTTTGGACTTCGGGACTTTGAAACGTCGAGAAATGCAAAAAGAGGGCATTTTTCTTGTATGTATGGATGTTAGTGTTTGTGTGTGGGGGGGCAGGATTTTGTTAATCCTATTTGAAGCTTAATAACTCCAATGCTTTTGGTAAAAAATGTCTGAAATCGTGCAAGGAGATTTGTTTATTAGGGGGATTGATGCTATTAAATTTTGATAGATACAGGTCGAGAGAGTGGGGAGATAAAGGGGATCGTGTGTATCTCCAATTGGATCGGACATAATGACGATTTTACTCGTTATTAGCATTTATAATTTTTTATAAAACCCATCCCTACCCTCAAAATTAAGCTTTTTGTTATTTTATAGTAGTTAAAAATATATAAAGTTTTTAAAATAAAATATGATAACAGATGGCGCCATCAAAATGTTACCGGGAAAGTTTAGCAACTCGTTGCTGAACTTTTTATACAGTTGAGCACAAATTGCTTTGACTAGAGAAATATATTTCCAATTTGAAATTATACGTGAAATAGTAAAAAATATTAAGAAAATAAATAACTAGTTCGATTTTTTTCATTCGCTTTATAAGACGTAAATAATGAAATAATTATTAATCCTAAAATACTTATCTTTTCTTAGTTTTATGATCTTTAAAGTTTTTCATTTTTGCTTTGGGGAACGAAAGGTTTATGACTTTTTTTATTTATTTCCTTACGACCGACAAAAGTAGCACATATGTAATCTCAAAAATTGCTTATAAAGTGCTGAAGGTGCAAAAAGTTAGATGTATCCTTGCCAGAAAGGCAGATTAAAGATTTTTCCAATATCTTTCTTTAAGATTTTTCGAACACTTTAAACGTTCTAAAAATCTTAATACTTTTTAAAAAATCTCACTAACTCTATTATTTATAAAAAAAAAGTCATTTTGAGTGGTGCAACGTTTACTAAGATATTGATTCTTTTAGTAGAATTATTATTTATTTCTGTAGTAAATGGTCTTTTTTGTTTTTGTTTTACATTTTTATACTCTTTCCGTTATGTGGGCAACTAAAAATACTTTCGCTCCAGGCCCACTGTGGCTTAGACCAGGCACCAATTACGTCACCGGGTGGTGAAGAACGGAATCTTAGGTTCTTCAGACGGTCATTAATGAATACACTTGACCTATATTTAACATTTCGTTTAAGTGTTGATGAAATGCTGACTTTGTACACTCGAACATTTGAAATTTTCTGTACTTTGATGCTTTTTTATGGTAGTTTATGCAATCGAAAAGTCAACGTTAAGCTATCAATATTTTCTCACTTATATTCAAATATTTTTCGTTTTCTACATTTCGAAAGCGGCATAAATGAATTGTGATGACAATGTCTACAAAATTTAAAAATTATTTTTATGGAGCCACGTGTCATTTTACTCGAATTCTGGTTTTTTAATACACTTAAACTACATAAAATTTTCCTCATTATCGTTATTTAGATTTTTTAAAATGATTTTCTCTTTTTTACACCGTTGGATTAAACATTCTAATTTATATTTTCTTAATTTATTCTGGATATAGAAGATATCCATATTTAGGCATACTGTTTATTTAATTTTGTACTTTAATTTTTACTTTCGAAACACATTGAAATGAGTCTATTTTATCTATTTTGCTGCTTTTTTTGTAACATCAATAAATAAGAAAAATGATTTTTTTTTAAAAAATGCTCCGTGAGAACATCAAAATGAAGGAATATGATAAGCATAGAAAAGCTGAAGATAAGGAAAAATTGGTTTTGAATAAAAGGGAAGTAAAAAAGCGAATTTTATGTTTGTATGAATAGTTTCTTGATAAAAATCATATTCTATGCATTTTTTAAAACGCTTTTATATGTTAATTTATCAGAAGCGCAGATTAATATTTAATCAATCACTTCTCCAAACACTTAAATTTTCAATTAACTTTTATCTATTCAAAGGCTCATTATTCTTTGTCTTTATTTTGCTGCGATTTATCGAATTCCCCTTTTTCATATTTCCACGGAGTATTTTTATTAATACTAAATCTTATTTTTATTTATTTATTATTTTTTTACAAACTGATCACTTCAATACTCCGTGGTCTAGTTTTCTCTGTTATTATAAACATCTTTCTATGNGACATTCCCTGAAAATAAGACCTAGCACGTTTTTCAGAGCAAAAATTAATATAAGACACTGTCTTATTTTCGGAGAAACACGGTATATACTTTTTATATCAATTGAATGCAAACAACATCCAAGACATCCCATCACTATCAATGGGAACCAGACTATCTTTTAGAACTGTAACCTATTAAAGTTCAGAGCCTGTCCATTTTTTACTGATTCCAACTCCAGTAACTCAAGAATTGCTTTTGATTCTGACCCCATAGCTCTGGTCAATACTGCCCATTATCTAGTGTGAAAAAGGTTCTGCAATTATTACAGATATTGGTAGTATTGATAAAAGATACTAATTAGGCATATCAAGTGAACAATTTGATTTTTAAGTGTTTTGGAGATAAAACCTTTAGCCTTGGTGCAGTAGATTATCTTTAGTACGTCCTTGATAAAATACAAATTTGAATCATATAATTGTAGTAACTAAAAGGTAATATGAAATATAAATCATACATACTGGTATAAAACTGAGTGCTGTATCAAATATCATATACATACTGCTGGCATTTGATCTTTTGGATAATGTATTTTTTTAAAAATTACATTTAAATAAAAATACACATTAGATATATGTTTTGTATTTTGTTATATTGGATAATTTTTAGTCTAATTTAAATATGTTTATTATACAGGTACACAACCGAATTTCTGCAACTGATGGTCCAGCATCCCTTTAATCTGGACAAAATTGCAAGAGAGAACTTGTAATTCCTGCAGTCATCAGACTAGTTTACTGGGTGGTCTCAGATGGCATTGTGTTGGGCATGCTTATTAACACTGCACTTGGTAGTAATACTGCAAATTTGTTGTATTCTTAGTTAATTTTGTTGAAATTTAAACTTAGTTATGGCTAGGAAAAATAAGTGTCAGTAGTCATATCAAACATAAACATCCAAGATATTGATCCAAGATAAAGCAGAACTGCTGAAAAAAATGGACAGTGGTGTTTCAGTGTGCAAGCTGTGTAACATATATGGTACTGACTCATCAACTGTATTTAATTTTTGCTTAATCATCTTGTTTCATTAATGTATTAATGTATAAGTAACTATATATCATTTATTTATTTAAGTTTCTAGCAGTCCTTGTGTACTTTAGACATGAAAGAAATGTAATTAGTGAGTCAAATTTGTTGATGAATTACAGATATTATTCAAGACCACAGTTGTTCCAGCAAAATGGTTAATCCAGCAAGACTTTGGAACCTAGGATACTGGAAATTCAGTGGTGTACCTGTACATAAAATTCATAGAATTCCTAACGGATTCTACAAGACACTGTCCTAAACATTAATGAAAAAATTAGTGAGAAAGCATTCTTTAATGAAAAACATAATATAATTTATTGGCATAATATAATATAAATAAAACATAATATAATATATTTTATGAAACATCATTTTAGAACTTAAAGTAAATTTTTTAATATATTTTTTTAATTCATAATTCAAATTTGTATATAACATTTAATATATACATTAGGCTCAAAGACCGAAATTGGTCATTGAGCGAAAAAAACGACCACAATGCGAATTTCGTGTTGTGGCTTTCAATGCGTAGTGGTCAAATAGACCACTACGCATTGTAGTGATTAAGAAAAGCCATAATGCGTTCTGAATGTTAGCTGATGCAACCACAATACGAAGGATTGGTTGTAACTTGTCAACAAGTGCATTGCAAACACTTGCAGAGTTTGTATTGTGTTCATTCTTGACCAGTGCTGCCATTTCTACGGTAATTACCGTTTTCTAGAGTAATTTCAACCTCTCAGAGTACTGTTTCGGATAGTCTTATATTTAGGGTAAATCTAGGGTAAAACTACTCTGTGTTCTTATGCTATTATCACTCCACAAGTTTTGCTGGAAAAAGTTTTAGCTAAAACCATTCTTTTTCCCTATAACTGGAGGGTTTTAGGATAGGACAACAGAAGCTAAAGAAATAATGCAGATTGATGCTAGGTACATGGGTGTACACTGTATAGTGATACTTTGGTTTTTGTCGATAATCTGTCCAAAAACAATCAGCGAAATCCGAAACTGACAATAACTGAAGTCAACGAAAACCGAGGTATTACTGTATTGATACACCTGAGTAGGATTTCACTTTTCTCAACCTTCATGCCATTGAGCCATTGGCACTCTCCATATGAGATGTAAATTAATACCTATGTAATGTAAATAAAGCCTAAAAATCCTAAGACATTTTAGTTATTAAAATTTTCAAAAACAGTAATAATTGTTCTGATTATTATTTCACAATAATATTACAGGGATCTGCATCATAGAATTGTCTATCTTATGTTTTTGTTTTTATTTGAGCTTGAGCTCAGAGTTTTGTCAATTTGGGTAATTTTCTGCAGTTGAAATTGGTTCGATTGTTTTAGTTAGGGTGCCTAATGTTGATAGGGGACGTGCAGCTCCCAGAAATGTTTTAGCTGTTGTTATGAGCATTAATCCATCAGGTCTCTATCAGTTAGAAAACAACGAAAGTCTTCTTGATCGACTTTATGCTCGTAATGAATTTACAATTTCTACAGTAACTTTATTAACATTCAGAACACACCCTCAACTTTATTAACACTTCGCTCAGCATCCATGTTAACATCTGGAAGTAAGCAAGGGTTTATAATGTGTCACTGTAAAAGATACTGTATTGATAAAAATGCAAATGTTTCTCGAAGAACATAAAATGCATGAATAATTAAATGTTGTTGTAAAGTAACCATGTTAAATTTCTGTATATGAAAAATAATTTTGTTACCTGCATATATAAAATGATAGAAGATAAATAAATCATAATGAAAAAAAAGTTTTATTTTCTTATCATTGCTCATTATTAGTTAACATCCAGAACATGTGGTGGCTTTTAACCATAATAAATCCATCGCACAGTGGTTTTTAACTTTAGCAGTTGATTTTTATTTTATCATGTATATTCTTATTTACCATTGGACATAACCCTTACTTTCCCAGTATTTACACAGTACCAATGTGTGATGGCAGAATTAACTGCACATTATTATATATTGGTATAATAATGGGATCTCAACCACAAGGGATCTCACTACAAGAATGAAGGAGCATGAATATATGATAAGAAAGAAGCTTTCATCCACGGCCTTAGCCACTTATTCTGGATGTGAGGGTGTACATGTCAATCTACAGAATACAAGATATTGCTACACAGGGTTTCCGATAGGGCATATCTTAAATACTTTGAGTCAATTGAAATCTGTAGGGCACTTAAGAATGAAGTAGGAATTAATTTCAAAGAAACAGACACATTATCCAAAGCATGGCATGATTTATTTGAACTCTTATAATGTTTTTCTCATATACCTCTTACTAGGTCATGCAGATACAAACTTACAAAAATGAAAATTTAAATTAAATTAGTTATTTGTTTGAAAAATTGTTTGGGAAATTATTATTTCTTAAACTTTTTTTATAAGTTATTCTGAAAATTATATTAAACTATACAGTTTTGTCCATACCATTAATGGTGAACTGCTGTAATTTGAATATTAACTTTTATTTGGTTATAGAAAGAAATTAAGTGAGGTTTTAGGGAGCATACCTATGATATTTAATGGGGGATAGCAGTTTACCACCAGCTTGGACTAGGACAAAAGACACATGTACAATAATGAACATATAGTAGTAGTGGTTTCTTAATAGTAGGGATATGTGGGAAGATTACAGAAAAAATATGTACATAGTTTTATATATTTGATTTTACCTTTATATCTATAACAAGATAGTTTACTTACCTATTCTTATACTATTGCGACAGTTATATAGTTTATCTATAGTTATAAAAGATTGCTTACTAAGTTAATATTAGTATTAAATATAATCTTGAAATTATTTAAAATATTAATTTATTCACTTGATTGAATAGGCAAAAGCCACAATCAGGCAACTTTTGCCATTGGGTTTACGAGAATCTATTAGCAAAGTACGTTCCAGCATTGCCTATGCTATTTCTGCAATTGCACATTGGGATTGGCCAGAGAATTGGCCAGAACTTTTTGATATCCTTATGCATTCCTTAACCAGCGAGGATCATAATGCTGTTCATGGAGGAATGAGAGTATTAACAGGTTTGTAAAATATTTGTTTAAAATTTATTAATTTGCTATATTACAATTAATACCTGTTGAAAAGTTTACTCTAAGAGAGATTCATGAAAAATTAAGTATTTAATAATAATCTTAATTTTCATTCTAAATGAAAAATGTTTTTAGAATGGTAATTAAGAATAATTGAAAATATAATAAAATATTTCTTTTCTATTTATTAATGAATTAAAAATGTAAAGAATACAATACTTTTTATGATAAAGGTTGCATTAATTCATCTATATCAATTAGGCATTGTTAATTCTAACATGAGCAATTATTTATTGTGACATCATCAATGTCAGGCTGCAATTTTTAATCATTTTCTTAATCTATTCAATTAAAAATATATGATCTCCTCCTCAAATTTGTAGTGTCTTAATCCTGTACATCATACTTTTCCTGATAACAAGAGTGTTATGCCAGTCATCTATCTAATGCCTTTCAGGGAAAAATTTTTAATTGAATTCACATGACTTCTGGTCTAGACTGGAAGCTCTTATGTAGTTAATTGGGGCCTTCTGTCCCTAAACTTTCCACATATTGTCTCACCTTTCATCTATATAACACCGTTCTTGAGATTAAGGAAGGACAGACTGACTACAGTGGGATTTTATAGGTCAACAATTTTTTCAAAATGCTGCCCAAAAACTTAAGTGTCTTCCTTCTGCAGCAATGTTTTTATACATCTTAGTTTCTTATAGTATAATCTAGTTAAGATAGACATAAGGTTTCTTTATCAGGAAATTATTTTTATTTCAAAATTAATATAAATAAATATGTTGCTGTTTTTAATATGTATTAAAAAATATTTGTAAAAATTATGTAAAAAGCTTTATAAACTGATTATTGTATAAAACATTTTGATACTAATTTTTTGTAAAGTGATGGAATACATGTGATGTTTATCAGTGTGTCTTCACAAACTTTATTTAGAAATACCTAAATCTGTTAAGATACAACTTTTGGAAGAACTTTAGAATAGTTATAGATGTTTGATTACATTTCTTAAATGTTAGAAATATAAAGTTGCTTTATATTTAATGTTCTTTCAGGATTAAGAAGGAGAAATGGTGCTTTTTAATATTTTTAGAGTAATTAAATGAACTATTATTTTCCAATATATAATTACTTGTTCAAGGAAAAATTTGAAATTACAGTCGACCCCCCTATAACACAGGTTCGTATAGTTTGGATTCCTATATGACGGCAAAAAAATTGCGACCATATTCGTATAAACACACTAAATGAGACTCGTATAATTCAGTAAAACGTCATCGCTGACTCGTGTCGCAACAGTATATGTCGAATCTAGACCAATAGCGGATATTGCACAAACTGTTGAGTTTAAACAAGCAGCAGACCTACTAAAAACCATTTATTATTTAACATCCATAAAAATTACCGTATTAGCCCGAATATAATGCAACCCCGAATTTAACGCGACTCCAAAATTTTCATAAAGATATTTAGAAAAAAAATAATACTCATAAAAGAATTCAAAGAAAGTAAAATTCAATCAGATAAGCATTTATTTATGTAATTACAGTAGAGTGTCGTTTATCCGAATCAATTGGGGACTGGGGTTGTTCGGATAACTTATTTTTCGGATAACCGATTATGTACGAAATTAATTTATCCCATGTTGAAATTTTTCTCCGTTGCGTGTTGCTTCGCATTGAATTTTCGTCGATGTTAAGCCCAACGAAGAATACTGTATCATTAAAAATTATTTTTTTATTTTGTGCAAACAAAATAAATATATTGAAAAATATGAAAACAATAAAAAATTATGCTTTACATGTTAATTTAGTATCAAAAACGTAAAATATTTGAGTAACCCAAAAAATAGCTGAAGATTGCAGCACCACAGCACTAGCGAAAATTTTAATTTGCCGACTGAAATGCTTTCGGATAACGGACGTTTCGGATAACCAGCTTTCGGATAAACGACGCTCTACTGTATAGCTAATGTGAGGGACGAACAGACCTACAATAAAGTGTTATTTTAAATTTTAATTATTGGAAACTTTAATTGATTACATTCGAGCGTTTTATTGAGTTTGGCTAAAAGCCATAAAAATTATTTTCCACGGAGTTTGTTCCTTGTTGAGTCGGATCCAGTTAGTCAGGGATGTGTCACCAGGAACTTTCGATGGAGAATCCATATTGGACGCCAGACCGTTAACGGCAACCACCTGACCTCATGGAAAAAACCCAAGAGGAATAACAAGAGGAAAGGAAAAAGATCCCGAAGTCAGTCGTCATCCGAAGTCCCTCTACAAAAGTCGTCTTCACAAAATCCGCTCAACAAAAGTCGTCCTTTCGAATAAAAATCGTGACCCGAATTAAAACCGTGACCCAGGATTAACACCGAGAGAAAAAGATCGTGCCTGTTTAAGGATAACATCTCCACACCTCCGTGCCTCCAACCCAGTGAATGGACAAGATCCAGAACCAGTAGATTGAACTTTCCATCGGCGTATCATCATCAGCGTAACCACAGATCCTTTGACCCAGAAGCAAGGTATTTATCAACCCGCGATTTGCGTGTAAACTCTCTCTCTCGAACGGAATAGTATAATTAGGGGGCTAGAAATAGAATATATCTGTATTTTCTTTAGTTTTTATTAAAATTGTTATTTGTTAGAAAATATGGAGTCCGAGTAAGTCACTTCCTCGTCTCTCTCCTCACCTCTACTCCGAATCCAAGCGCTCACCCGCTACCGCTCGCGTGACTTAATGTCGCGATTTCTGAGTCCCCCAGAGACTTGGTGGTGTCAGATTTAGGTCTCCTGACGTGGTGTCGAAGAGACACCGACCCTTCGGTCACACTAATAACACAGGCAACCTCTGTAGGAAAATGTCCTTGTTTATATTACATTTCATTACTTAAACCCCGAATTTAGCGCGAGTCGATTTTTTAACGGAAAATAAATGGTCGAAAAATATCGCGTTATATTCGGGCTAATACGGTATATTTATATTAATGATGTCTCCAAAGTTCAGTGAATTTTTCGCAAAAAAAATAATTTATCAGGAAGCACGCGAGCGCCATTCAATGACAAGCTCTATGATGAAAACAAGCTTAAGCAATGGCATCGTCGAACGATGCACACTCGTTGAGTAATCCTACAATTTTTTGTTTATAGCATAGTTTATATGGATTATTCCCAAAAAATTATACATATTTTGGAAATGTTGAGTCGAATTAGTCTAGAATCGATTAATTTTATGGAAGAAAACCTTTCAAACAGCTGTAATCTGTAAACTGCATATGTGCTGAACTGTGATTGGCTCATGCATTCAAGGACTCTTAGAACATCAATTTCATAAAGAACAAAACGTATCTACCATGTTATAGGGGTCGACTGTAATTTAGTATTTTGATTGACCTTGTGCTACTTGAATTATTCTTGAAATTTATTAAAAGTTTCTTGTGTATATTAGTCAGTTTTTTCTCAAAAATTTAAGATGGATTTTTTAAAATTCAGTTATATTTTTTTTTTAGATTGTGATTTTGATGAGTGTAGTCATAAATTATTATAAAATGTCTATTATATTGTAACATAATCTAATTATAATTTAAATATTAAGGAAGTTATTAAAATAAATTATGCTTATAAATATAAATTCTTGATGAAGTAAAAGTTTTTCTGAACTTCTGAAGAAATAAAATTTTGTTTCCTTTAAAACAATATTGAAAAATATTTTAATTAATTCAATAGAAGAAATATGAGAGAAGCTTTTGAGAATTGAAGAAGAATTTGATAAATTTTTAGAATTAATGTAAATGATTAAGATAATTTTAAAAAGTATCAATAGAAAGAAATTTAAAATTTTCTTAATTTTTTACAGAATTCTGTAATGAAGTCACTGATAATCAGATGCCTCAGGTTGCTCCAATTATCCTACCTCAGATGTACAGAATCTTCACATCATCAGATGTAAGAAACTTATTATTATTATTATTATTATTATTATTATTATTATTATTAAGAAAACAATTACTATCAGTAAGTGAGACTAAAAGTTAAAGGTTAATTTGTAAGATAAATACAAGTAAAAATAGTTCTGTAATAATTTTAAAAAATGACAGTAATTGTATAATATTTAAATACAAATATTCTGATCTTATATGCTTGCTTCTGCACAAACACAAAAACACTAACAAAAAAGGTGGCAATATTATTGTTGGACTTGCTGGCATTCTTACGCACACATATACTAAAATCCATGTATACAGAAAAAGCTGCAACTATGTTTGCATTTCTTGACATTTCAAGATCCTCTTAATCCAAAAATATTAGGGGTCATTTTTTTGACTATTGCCATACTTTCCCTCTATTATATGTAATAGCTGAGAAAGTAAAAAGAAAGTAATTTCATATTTTATTTGGGAATTAGTCCATTATTGTAGTGCAGAGACATTGATAATAAAATTGTTATAATTTCATTAAAGTTACTAGATTGTTGTCTTAAAATTTAAACAGTTTAGAAATATGAGCTATGAACAGCAACAGAAAATTCTGATATTGTCCATTTTGGAACTAAAAATTAAGAGAAGAAAATTATTTAGTGTTTTTAGCCAAAATTGTTTAGAAATTTTCCATTCAAAAACTGAATAATAATAAATTCTTTAAAATAAAAAATTGGCTGACAGTATTTACATTTAAAATATAAAAATAAACATATTGAAGATACAAAATTGTCTNTGGAATTTTAATTTAAAATTAAATTCAAAAGCTTTGCTTTTCCTATTGCTATTCATATTTAATCCTGACAATACACAAGAATGATTGAAACAATTCAGATAAAATAGTTTTGTTTTTTGTCACCAGAGGGTGAGCATCTGGTAAAAAATGCAAACACATGGTTCACAAAAGTAATTGCAAAAATGCCTTCGCTTGCGCATATAGGATGACCTAGGTTTTTGAAGCAGTGAAAAATGAATAAAAACCTTGTCTTATACACAAGTAACTAAGGTATATGGTTTAATTCAAATTACAGTAGAGCATCGATTATCTGACCTCCGATTAATCGTCACATCGGTTAACCGACCGTTCTAGTCGGCAAATTTCAAATGTCCGCTAGTGATGTGGCGCTACAATATTTGGCTGTCTTGGCTACTTTAATATTATTTTCATTAAATTTTTGCGTGTTTTAGATGGCAACACCGACTCGACCATTGAAGGGAGGCCAGTATTTAAACGAGACTTAATTTTCTAATTATGAGTGATTGTTTGTTTTGTGAGCAGTAAAATAATTTAAAAATAATTTTTAACGATACAATAGCGACGATTATTATTTAAAAAAGTTGTTAGACTTAACATCGATGAAAATTCAACGTGAAGTTGTTTAATAGTGATATACTAATATACTATGCTAATAATGTATTTTTTTCGATTATCCGATTTTTTCGGTTATCCGACCAACCTGAGTCCCCAATTGAGTCGGATAATCGATGCTCTACTGTATATATATAAAATGGATGCGCACCCACATTTTTGGCTTAAACTTTCAGAAAAAACTTTTTAATTTCTTAATTCAAATTTTTATTTATGTTTAAGAACTTGTTTTTATGTTATAAAGAAATTTTAGCATTTATTTTTTAACATACTTTGGTATGAGAAATTTTGTAACAAATAATTACAAAACACAAGAACAGATAGAAGAACAGTCCTGCTCAAAATGCTGTTCAGATTCTTCATAGATAGCTGTAGCTATCTTATCCAAAGTAGATTGACCATAGTACCAAAAATATCAAATGCAAAGTACAGTGATAGCAAAAATAGATTTGTGTATTTTAATGAAAAAGGAGGGAGAATTATGGCTGAAGATGGGATAAGCACATGGCTTTAACTGACATGATTAAGACATAAAGCATCCAGATGCATATACAATAAATTAAAAAGTTTATGTTGGAATTTACTTACTAATGAATGATCAATGGTAAAAATGATATTTGTTGAAAATAGTAAATATTATATTGATTTATTTGTTATCTCTTCTGATAAATTTATCTATAGAATCTTATACCCAGCAAACATGCACATGCAATGAGACAATTGTAAAGCTATGTAATTAATTAATTTAAAAGCCATTGTTAGCTTTTGTAAAAACGACTGATGATATCTTTTATAATATTTTGAAGATGGACAAAGATTTAATGCATATTCAGATAGGATTGATAGAATAAGGCAAACTCAACACTTGAGTGATCTGTCAAGGATGCCTACTAGGAAGACTATAGGAAATATCCACTATTTAGGTGTTTACACTTAAAGAAAACCTGAGATACTCTACATGGTTAGCCCATTGATTAAGCACAAACTCAACCAATGGTGGACTGGCTACCAGGAAATTGGGCCATATGCTTAGTGGCCTTTTCTTATTTTAATATACCGTATTTATTCACATATAAGATGACCTTGCATATAGGACAAGGTGTGACTTTAAAGATCAAAATAAAGAAAATTAGGTTTATTAATACAATTCTAATTTCGTTTAATCACAAGTAAAATATCAAATAAATGTAAATGCACACATTGTCCTGCAAAAATTACTGGAATTTTCAACTTTAAGAAAAAAATCTTGTAAAATTGACAACAAAATTTGTTCATGTAAAACTGGACAATTGGGAACCTTTTTTTGCCAATTCTTAACAGTTGAATCCACACTCTGTTGATTACACTTATGAGTTTCTCTGAATTCTGATTTCTGAATAATCATATGTTTTCACATGAGAATAGATTAAAACTTATATCATGCTCCCATGTGATTTTGGAATTTCAATCTGGAATCCAATTGAAAAGCTTTGCTATTCCTATTGCTATTCATTTTTACTCCTGACAATATACAAGAACGATTCAAATGACCCAGATAAAATACTTTTGTTTTAAATACAAGAGGATAAGCATCCAGTAAAAAATGTGAATACATTGTTCACAAAAATTATTTGCAAAAAACGCAAAGAATTTTTCACTCGTGTATAGGACAACCTAGGAATTTGAAACTGTGATAAATGTATAAAATCCTCATCTTATATGTACAGTACCAATATTTTACCAGCAGCAATGTGTATTTTGTAACTTCTAATTTGAAAACAATCAAAAATTTTGAAATAAAATTTTCTTGCAATACTCTTTAATGCAGTTACTATGCAATACACATTCCTTAGTATTTCTAATAAATATTGCTTAAACAAATTGCAGAATGACAATAATAATAATTGTTGGAAGACATAATATATTAGTACAACTTAGAAGTTGTTTCATTTTGCTGAAAACTTTTTGACAGAAAAACTTTTAGTTACTTTGACAAATGTTTCTTCCCCATTGCCATGAAAATGATAGTGTAGAGATAATCCAAAGCATTCAGTGCTTGACATGCAAATTGTGACTACGGCGGGAAAGCCAACATTTCCTGTAAATCTGAACAGCATTTTGGATGGGACTGAAATTTGGGCAAAAATGTGTGCATTATACACAGAGGGTGCGTTTACTTCTGAGTTAGCAGTACTAATTCTGATAACCGGATGTGACGTCATTAGCACGTGTATTCGTGCTTGCTTGTCCAATTCGAAAGTGAACACATACGCTAACAAGAAACATGGCGGTTTCCAGCCATATTTCTTGTTAGCGTATGTGTTCACTTTCGAATTGGACAAGCAAGCACGAATACACGTGCTAATGACGTCATATCCGGTTATCAGAATTAGCACTGCTAACTCAGAAGTAAACGCACCCAGAAAAATACAGTATTGAAGCTTTGCACTGTTGCTGGTGATTGTAAACAATGGAAAATGAAGACAACTTTTTATCTTCAATATATTTATATTTTAATGTAAATACCATCAACTAATTTTTAATTTTAATCAGTTGTGTTGTGAATTATGGCATTGGCATTGTTGTCAGAGGATGTTTTTATCCATTTCACATTTTTTTAGTGAAGGCTGTNTGGAAAATGAAGACAACTTTTTATCTTCAATATATTTATATTTTAATGTAAATACCATCAACTAATTTTTAATTTTAATCAGTTGTGTTGTGAATTATGGCATTGGCATTGTTGTCAGAGGATGTTTTTATCCATTTCACATTTTTTTAGTGAAGGCTGTGCTTCCACAAAAAAAAAAAAATTATAAAATGTCTCTATAAGTGAGAATTGTTTTGGCCTGTCACTAGTGATTGTAAATGACAGAAAATGAAGACAATTTTGTATCTTTAATATATATATATATTTTTCATTTTAATAATAAATTATTTATTTACAAACATGTTTTTTCAATTCATATTTAATGCTTTTTATTCAATATTTGTAAAAGGTATGCTCAATTAAAGTTATAATAAAAACCAATTTTTATTTGTATATTATACTTATAGAAATATAATATCAGAGTGCGTGGACATGCTGTTGAGATTTTTTCAACTTGTGTTCAAGTAATATCTATGATGGTTGATTACAACAAGGTAAACTTCTATATATTTTTGGTATTTTAAAAATATTCTAAATTTTTCATACAGAAATAATTTCATGTAAGTGGTTTTCATTGATTTCAAAATGTTAGTTTTTGTGTTGTGTAATATAAAATTTTTTAAAATTTTAATAGGAATATGTTAAATTTTAATGATTTTAACTGAATTCAATACTTTGATTATATTGAGACAATAAAACTAACTTGTTTTATCTTATTGCTACACTTCTAAATTAATTTGAATCGTCATTTGACATTTATTAAAGTGTTGTTTTTTGTTTATTTAACAACAAAGAAATAATTGTAATTGCACTCAGGGAATTTTATTTTAAATATATTAATGTTGTCAATAAATTATGTTGTTTAGCGAAAATGACATTTGACATATGAAAATATCTATTGATGATTTCATGTTAGTTTGATACCCTTGATTTATTGTCTGCAATATTAATTTATTACTTGAATTTTGACAATTCTTAATTTTCTTAACAATACAAGATATAATGAGTGTAAGGGAAAAATAAAGGATGTATTATTTGTTAGTAGGCTATCACTACTTTTATAGACAGAACCACCTGAACAGGACCACCAGAGAGTCTAAAAAGTCAAATAATAATGTCTAAAATGGTCAAAATTCAAGTAGTAAATTAATATTGCAGATAATAAATGAAGGGTATCAAACTAACATTCAATTATCAATAGATATTTTTGTACATCAGATGTCATTTTTGCTAAACAGGAAATGGCACTAGAGTTTTCATCTGAAAATTAACCACTCTAAAATTCCTCTATTTTTTTTACACACATTCCTTAAACGTTCTGTATATCTAAGTCAGTGAACATATTGCTTTATGATATAATCATAATTCTAACAGTTCAATCTTGTAGCCACGAATAAATCAGTGGTGAGCTAGATTTATAAATGAGGGGCAAGCTGAAAAAATAGTACAAGCTTATAAATAGGCTGGAATTATTAGGACTGTCTATATGAACACCTTCAACTTTATCATCATAATTTCCCACTTTTCTAAGCTTGGGGTAGATAATTATTATTTTGTCAATGCCCAAAGTCCCCCCATGCATCGGCACCACAGAACCGAAGGGTCAGCATCGTGTCTACGAAGACTACAATGACTAATTCGCCAGGACTGACACCACTGTCTTCTGGGTAGACACAGAGATCGTTACATTTGTTTTTTACATGCGAGTGGTCACGTCTGTGGACGGTTGGACTCAGGATGGAGACCGATTGGGTTAAAGAAGTGCACTTTACAAGTTATCATATAAAAAAACTACCCATTTATTAATCAAAATTATAGCAAGACATATATAGTTATACAGATGCTTAGCAAATGCTAATATTTGGACATACAGCATAACTACTATGACCCTGACAGAGAGAGAGAGAGAGTTCACATTAAGTTTGCACGAGGATAAATACCTTTAAAGTTTATAGAGATTGAAATTCAGAACTTTCTAGATTGAGGGAGTCACTGCCCTCTGGATTAGCAGGTTCTTTCGATGAACAGAGATAGATGCTCAGAAGTGACGATGGTATTGGCTGGAATCAGCAATGGTGTGCGGCGATGATGAGTGGCTGGTCACACACACACACACAGTTCAATAATAACAACTGCATGACTTTCTTCGACTCATCGACCCCTCCTTTTTATCAGAGGGTCTATTCTGGGTTTTTTTCATGGCCTTATTAGGAGTTTTTCAACAATCGTCCAATAGTTGAATTTTGGTCGTAGATTGACACACTAGGAAGCTGTATCACCTCCAAAAGGAAGTGAATCCGGAGAAAGATACAATCGTATCCTTCTAGATTTTTATTAAGTGTTGGGAAAAAGTTCATTCTTTTTTCAAATAATTAATCATTATTTTGTTTTATTTTAAAATGAACATGAAAGTTTATAAAAAGAAAGGTTTATAAGAGCTTATTAAATCCAGGTACTCGCAACTTGAATATGTTAAAAATAGATTTGTAGTATCTGATAATAAAAGGGACAGGGGTTAGATGCATGAAAAAAAAAAAAAGACATAAACATAACACAAAGAGAATGAAATTGTGATGAATGACTGGTATTTTTTATCTTTTCCAGCCAACACTATTAGCAACAGTGTATATGAAAAAAGTAACAATAGCCTAAGTTTACGTGATGAAAGCAAAAGTGCATATTATATAAAATATACTGTATGTAGTCGTTATTGCACTAAGCTGGGAGAGCTATTATATTTTTCAGGGGCTTAGTCACCTCAGAGGACTTTATAGCTATGGCATTGCAATAGTTACTGTTAGACAGACTTAAAAAATTAAATAACTTATCAAAGTTTGAGTTCTAGTATATCCTCACATTTGAATTTTTAACAGTTTAAATGACTATTGTACAGCTATTTATTCAAGTCCAGTCTTATCAAAAAATTTTTATATTTAATAAATTTAAATATAGTAACTGTCATACTTTTTGTATAATACACAGTTCAATTTCACTTGATATCTAGCTGATTTGAATACAATGCTGGAAGATTTTTTTTTTTCTGTCAGTTGTGATTATAGATGAGAATTCCCAGATGTACAGTAGAACCTGTTAAAAAAGTTTCCATCTAAAAGGTTTTCCTGCATAAGTTCAAATCTCTGGTCCTGGCATTTACTCTATAATATGTATGTTAAAATTTCCCACATAACAAGTTTCTGTTTAACAAGTTTTCCTGTGTAAGAAATTCCAAATATCAGTCCCATCAATGATATTTTACCCACTTAAGAAGTTCATGTTGGAGACAAATTGTAATCTATTTCCTCACCACTTTATCACTATAAAAATAGTAGTTTTAGTAAAGAACTCTGGATGATCACCATATTTTATAGCAAACACTTGCATATCTGAGATGGTCATTAAATTAGCTTGGGTTTTATTGTTTTAGTACTCCCTATGCAATGCAATCTGCATTGCATAGGGAGTATGGGAAATCATAGGGAAAACAATATCATATTTCATGACAACACCAGTCACTTCATCATCTGCTGTAGTCAGTGAATCTTACTATTCTATCTTACACTATGCTATGTTATATTACCTTAATATTGAAATAAAATTGATTATACAGATAAAAAAAAATTTGTTTTACAATTCCTGCATAAAAAGTTTTTCTGCCTAAGATGTTTTTCAGAGTGGTCCCTTCAAAACGTCTTAACAGGATTCTACTGTATTTTTTAGTGAAGATAAACAATAATTTTCTGCCAGTCATAACAAAGAAAATAATTTCATTGAATATATTTATCATTTAACTATTAATTTAGCTACTGATGAAAGCTTATCAATTTTATCAATAAATTAATAATCTCAGATGAATTTGAAAATGAATGTGATTGACCAAGTAAGAATGAGTGGATTATGTTGTCTGGATAACTATTTTTTTTTTTTTTTAATGTTTTGTTTCAGAATAGGATTACAAACATTTTTGTATTGTCCCTCTTAGTGGCCACAGGCAGAAACAGTATATACATATAACAGTATATACATACATGCATATACTTTTTCAAATCTAACTGGAAATGCAAAGATTTATTTCTAGGAAAGATAGTAGTCAAGTGATTTTTCATGAGAACTTTTTTAACAATAAGGAACAAAATTTATAAATTTGTAAACATAATATTAATATTATTTATATTTTCTAGAAAAATTTCATTAGAAAAATTATTAATTTGAAATAATTTGTTATTAATACATGAAAATATTAAAAAATAAGTGTATTAGTTTAAGATGGGATTAATGATTTACTAGTGTTGTTCAAAAAAATATATTTTTTTTAGAAAGCAGCAAAAGAACTTCTATATCCAATTTCAACACAATTCACAGAAGCTTTAGTAGCAGCTCTTCAAGTTCCAGATGGTGTAAATTCAGATAGTGGTCTGAAAAAAGATGTTCTTAATGTAAGTGATTTTTTTTTATATTAAACTTTTAAAACTTAACAAAACTGTATAGATAACAACCACCACTCAGTTCACAATTCAGCTGTATTATGTTATTTTATATTTGAGATGCACCACTCAGTTCACAATTCAGCTGTATAATGTTGTTTTATATTTGAGATTAATTGAATTAGTTGTGATTTATATAAGCCTTGTTTGTTTTAAACATTTTAAAATTTTATGTAGTGAATCAATAAATTATGCTTTTTTGGAAATAATTTAGAATTATTATTTTTTAGCATTTCTTAAAAATGACTTTCCAAGAATTATTTGCTTTATACATAGTATTTGGAAACTGCATGACTTTCTTCGACTCATCGACCCCTCCTTTTTATCAGAGGGTCTATTCTGGGTTTTTTTCATGGCCTTATTAGGAGTTTTTCAACAATCGTCCAATAGTTGAATTTTGGTCGTAGATTGACACNTATGCTTTTTTGGAAATAATTTAGAATTATTATTTTTTAGCATTTCTTAAAAATGACTTTCCAAGAATTATTTGCTTTATACATAGTATTTGGAAGAAATTTTTGAATTAAACATTTTGAATTATGAAGAACATGTATTGCTTTTTATATAGAATGCTGCTGTTTTATTACAAAATAAGTAAGTAAATAAGAATATAAAAATAAAACAAATTTTTAAATATTTTGGAAACATGAAAAATATTTTATCAATATCAGTTCATTAAGAAATTAACACAGCTTTATACATTTGAATTAAAATATATGAAATTCATAAAAGTAATGAAATTTAACAAGACTTGATACAATGTTTTGTTTTTGAGAAATGTGTAACAAATTTATTTTAAAGTAGACAGTTTTCATTTATTATTAAAGTAGCAATAAACTAATAATGGAGATTCATATTTAAATTATTATTATTATTTTGTAAATGTCATGTTTCATGCCCAGCTGATACTGGTTCCAAGTGTTATGCTGGACTAAAATCAAGGCATAGCTACTTAAACAAGTATTACATTAAACCTCTGTGTTGTAGCTATGTGTATCAACATCTAGAAACTTCCTAACTCACGAGCCTCTACCTAACTCATGAGTGCGGATGTTGTTAACCTGGGCAACGTCTAATCTGATATTGCATTTGGATTAACATCATTAGATTGTCACAGATGTGGGTTCAGTCACTCTTGGCTTCAATTTTCTCCCACATAGGAGCAGCTGCTTTAACTGTCATAGCTCTGTAGTTCATCAGAATTACTGAGTGCTCACCACAGTAAGACGGTGACTGACAAGAGAGTTATTATTATGCAACTTTAAAAATAAAACAGTAATAAACACTAATGTTTATCATTACAAAATTAAAATTTAAAACATTGAGTTTTATAACAACAAATATATAAACTTGATTCAAATTAATAATACCAAATGAACTGCTGGAATATAAATTAGACTTCTTACATATAGTCCAGTTTATATTCTGGCAGTTTGTTTGGCATTGAGTTTCATCCATTGGAACCAAAAAATAACATTTACACTGCACGTATTTTTTTCAAAATGAACTGAATTGTTTATTAAACCATAAAAAAGTAAAAAAAATTCCTGTATTGTATGATAATTAAAATAATTGAATGTTTAAAATTAGCATCTCTGAATATTAAAATAGTATTAAAAATTAGTCCATTACTTGCCAAAATATTCCTTCTTTCCATAATTAATTTGAAATTATGAATTGAGATATATTTTGTAAGTAATCTTAGTTTAATCTTTGAAATTATATTTTTATTGTTAATGTGTGTGATGATTGCTATAGGAATAATGTATTCAAGATTAATTTATTCTTGTTTGTATACAAACTTGCTAGATAATTGTGTCAGATTCTTCCATGTAATTTTTGACTCATGAAATTTTTTTGAAGCTAGTTTATTATTTAAGAGTAATAGATTTTATAGATCTAATAATATGCATTATGATAGTATTCAAACTGGAATATAAAGTATGTGCTTAGAAAATTGCCTTACAGAATAATGAGTACAGTACTTTGTTGTTAAATTCATATACTGTATTGCTAATTTATTATAATCATCTACATTGTCTTATAATATAACATATATGTAAACAAGCACAAACAAATATGAAAATGTTTGTTAAAATTTTTGTTAAGCAGCAGCTTTTGCAGTCAGGCTCTGTGCACTAAGTATTACTGTAAAGTAGATGATAATTTGTGTTTAGTTTGAATATTTTTCTCTCATTATATTCTGAACCTATAGTTTTCAAATAATAATTTATTCAAAAGAAACTTTGTATGGTGTGAAATTATAATGAAAAAATTGGATTAAATTATTCAGTGAGATCATTTTTATTTTAAATACTGTTTCATAAACATTTAATGCTTCAGGAATGATTTTTAAATTTAAATCTTATAACATAAATATACATAATTCTAACTTAAATATTTATTTATGTAAATTTTAATGTTGAAAATTTTAAAAAGTTAGCTCTAAAATCATTTTTACATCAGGTCAGTATGATTAAATGTATAATTTTTAAAAATGATAATGCTTTATTGTTTCAGGCATTAACATTATTGGTTAAATGTGTACCAAAACTTATGTCCTCTTGGCTACCTCATATTTTAACTCCTGTATGGAATGCACTTACTGAGAGTGCTAGCATGTATCCTTTTATTTTTATTTATATTTCTAGCTATTTTTTATATGTTTGATTGAAATAATAAAATTATAGTATGGATTTTAATTACTTAGAAATTAAAATAATAAGGAATAAACAAAATTACACTTTCAGTGCTTATAGAAAATTTAACATACTAACTTTCTAGCATCTATTTAATTTCATTAAGAAAAAAATAAAATAAAAATTCTTATTAAATATTGAATCATAAAATATTTACTTTGATTTTGTTTTCACAAAGCAGGCATATATTGGTTATATTAGCTTAATGCAAGTAGACTTGTTAATATTGAGATCTTTTTGAGAGATGGGAAATGTTTGAGCAAAATTATCTATGTTAGAATAAAGTTGTGAATTATCTTTATTCTTTCAGATCCCTTACAAAAATGAAATTTTTAATTACATAGCTATCTGACTAACCTGTTGCTTTGAAACTTCATAATCATCATGAAAAAATCAAGTAACCAAAATTATTTATTTATAAATGTATGTTTCATATGATTTTCTATTTTATGCATGTTTGTTTATTATTGTTAAGTTGCTATATTTTGAAGCAGAGTTAGTGTTATTTATTTATCTACCCTGTAAATGTCATGGAAGAGGTTTTTCATGTTCATCATGGGTTCAGTAGGGATCTACTTTTGAGTCAATTGTACAATGATTCAGTAGTGAGGGAACTTTGTATTAAATCATTTATGAGAATTTAAAGTTTTTAACTTGAACTGAGATCTTCCAAGATGGCTGCTAATGTCTTTACTTTTTTGGTTATCCAGTTATAATTGTTTATACAATAACTGTTCTGGTCCAGTTTTATAAGGATTTGGAAAACTAATAAATTGAAAATAGTTACCTCTGCTTGCAACAAACCTCTATATGATATAAAATGACATTCTTGGCCATCATTGAGAATTCATTAATTAATTCATGAACAGGTTTTACATTGTTAAATAATGTATATTCAAAATACATTTTTATTCTAATAAACAGCTTGCTGTCAGTAACTTTTTTTAACTTGCAACTGAGCTGCTTATTAGTGTTTACTATTAGATGGTGACTCATTCCTATTCTTTGGGGGATTTGGTATTGTGTTTATTTGAGGGTTACTATTAATGGAATAAATCCAGTGATTTCTTTATTATTTGAAAAACAATGCAACACTCAACATACACACCTTTTTTTTCAACATAGGTAAAGTAAGAGTGACAATGCTGAATACATTGTGCAATTTTTCAGTTTACAATAAGTTTATCTTCTTCAAATAGAAATCCTGCATACTATTAATACTATATTTATTAGAATAAATATAGCAGTTTAACAATTTGTACATTTGTGATATTTGTCAATTTATTATTTTTTTTCATTTAACTTTTTTCATATGATTTAATTATTAAATCTAACAAGAATATTTTATTTTTAATCTTATTTCATGTAAATAATCATTAAAAAATGTCCTTAATTTAGATTGTTAGATATGTAAAAACGGTTGTTAATGATACAGAAGATGCAAATAATCCTGTAGATTCTGATGGTAAATATTCTGAAAATATTGTATTTAATATTAATATACTTTTTTAAAATATAAAAATTATATTTTACAGGTGAAGTATTAGGATTTGAAAATCTTGTATTTAGTATATTTGAATTTGTCAATGTGTTAGTTGAGAGTCCAAAATTTAGAAACTTTGTGAAAAAGGGATTATCAGATTTAATGTATTATATTGTATTATATATGCAAATAACAGAAGAACAAGTAAGTTAATGTAAGATTTCATACAAAAAAAAATTGTATTTAATAATAAATTAATAAGAATTTTACACTAGATAAATATATGGACGAATAATCCAGATCAGTTTGTTGAAGATGAAGATGAGGAAACATTTTCTTATTCTGTTCGCATATCTGCTCAGGATCTGCTTTTGGTATAATTTTTTCTTAACTTGGAAGTTTCTTTAAAATAGTTGTTATATATATATATCTCAAGTACAAAATGTTACAATTGTGATTCTGAAGAAATATAGTAGTGATAGGACAATGAATCAGAATCAGAAATTGGAAAATTGGACATTTTCTGGGAATCAGAATCAAGAAAATCTCATCATGATTTCCGATTCTTAAAAACAATCCTTCCACATTTTATAAGAAAATTAATTATTTGTTTCACTCAGTGATTAAAAATTTTTTAAATTAAAATATTAACAATTAAATATTAGTTTATTGGAAACTTTCATGTTGACAAGGCAGAGAGTATAAAATGCTCCCAAACACAGTGACAGATGTCACTGTGTTTGGGGGAATCGCATACTCTCTGCTTTGCTATCTCCCCTAAAATGTGAACAGTTAGTTAAAGTCCACTAACTAACTGTTCATATTTTAGGGGAGATAGGGTTGACATCCAGAATAATGACCAAAAACATTTTTTTAATTTTAAATTAATAAATATAAAATATATATTAGATGTATGTTATATATATATAAAGAAATATATATATACANTATATTAATTTGCATAATAATATATGTTAAATAACACACAAACATATACACACAGAAATATAAAGTTCATTTTTTGTGGTAAATATCCTGGCTTTTCTGAAATTCTTGTTTTTTGCAATAAAGTTGTGTACTTTCATTTGTCACTTTTTCTTTTATTAAGCAAATGTCAGTAGCAAAAGATTGCATCTAAAATGCTCCATTTTGCTTTTGGACTACTTTCAAAACCTGGATCATTTGCTACAATTTGATCAATGATTTTGATTATCGTTACCAAACTTTTACTAAGGAAATCTGTAGCAAGTTCTCTAGGTTCTTTGTTTTCAGAATCTATTTTTTCTAGTTCTTGAAGATCGTATTTGGTAAGACTCTCACCAGGAACCTGCAGTAACTCTTCAATATCCTGCTTGTCTACATCTAGTCCTGCTGTATTGATTAGGTTGACAATTTAATCAACCTAATGATATAGTGATAGGCTCTTCTCATTGAGAATTCTTGGATACCTTCAGCCATAACTTCTTTCTCACTTTGTTCATGCATTTATCAGTTAATTCTTGCCAAGTAAAGTCAATGGCATCCATGATGTTATATTTTTTCCAAAATCACACAAAACAAACATAGATATAAGGGAAGTACAGCACTATGACAAATTGCCACCTTTTGCTAATTGGTTTGTGTTCATAAATAATCATATTATAAATAAATCAATAAAATGCTGCAGATAATTTGAATTGGTAAATTTTGAGCTTTTTTAAGGCTTTGAGCAGACCACATTATATCGAATCAGCATTAATTGAGGCAGCATTAAGCCTGGTCTTACTATACATATATTTTATATATATATATATATACACACACACTCACACTGCATTCAATAATATATTGATATTCTTGTAGTTAGTTAACTTAGCCAATTTTCTTCTAATATCAGTGATCTGTAAAAGCACATTTGCAATACTTTTTATCCTCTTTATCCAGCAAGTGACAGATACAGAAATGTGCAGTGTTAAAAAAAACTATTGATGAAACATTAATGCCAACATTGGTGTATTAAAAACAAAACAATTCCTTTTTTACTTGAACGATTGAAAAACTACATGCTTGAAAGGATCTGATTCCTTTATAACACAGAGTGTGAGGATCTGAATCCAGACTTTCCATGTGTTTACATCATTATCACCTAACGTCATATCGTAACTATAAACTTGATACATAACTGTCAACTTTTGCACCTGGGAGCAAAACATCTGTTAAGTTCTCAGGCCTGACAATGATGCTTTATTATCACTTCTCAACCTAATATCTCGATTTCATTGGTTCAACAATGGAAAAATCAAGAAACTGAGGCAGTCGTCATTTTATTATATAATCTTTATAGTTTTGATATTTTAGCTTAGTCCAAGTAGACCTAAGGAAACCATAAGGCTAAATTGTTTATCCTTGTTGAACATTGAATTTAATCTTAAGAAAGAAATTAATTTTGACTGTATTGTAGATACTTCACCAAAAGCAAAGCTAGACACTAGCAAATGTAAATGTGTATTAGGAGAATTGAAGTGTATGGTGGATGTACTATAGATGTCTGATTGGGTCAAAAATCACTAAGTAAATGTTGTATTAAGTGAATGTTTATTGTCTCAAATTACAAGTGTTTAGCTGTGTCATGCTATTAGGCAAAAAAAAGAAAGGATTTTTTTAATTTGAACTCTTTGTCCTAAAGATATATATATATATATATATATAAGGGCAGAAAAAATTGGCTGGCATAAGACAGGTAAAAACCTTAATACATCATTGGGTACATTCATAAAGTCAAACAAGTTAAATGCATTAGTAATGAATCGTTCAAAAAGTAGTAGTCTTGCCCAGTGTGCATTCTCTGCGGTGATGATGTTTCAAACAAAACCCTAATGAAGTTCACGAAGAAAAGAGTTAGTTTACTTTGTTAAGAAAATGGTGCCCAATGATATCGATGTTTCTAAATCTACTTGAGTGTTTAAATTGTGAATTAAAAGGTGAAATGATTGAAATAACTGTCCATCCGAAGCAATCTAAGAAAAATATTTCGGATAAGGCTGCACTAGCAACATTCATATCTTCAATTTTAGAAACATCCATTTAGTTATAAACAAATCGTTCAAAAAATCTAACAAAATAAGGATAACGATGACGTCATTCTCGTTTAACTCGTTCGACTTTATGAGCGTACCCATTGCTGTTAAGTAAAATCAAACTAGTTTAAGTGCTCATCTTTTGATCAGTATAGATACCTTTTAGGTTATGTGTAATATATTCTGAATTTCTGAAGTGCAGGTAAAATATTCTCCCATTGCTCTTTCTGATATTACTTCTATGATATATTGCCTCAGATTTAGTTTCATTAATTAATATGATATTGCATTGGTTATTTTGTGATTATCAGGAATTCAGAACAACGTCCAAGAAATTTTTTTGTGGAATTTTATTTCTGATTTTGTCTTTTTGTATTTTGCTTTGTTCTTGTAGTTATCTCTTAAGTTTGTATGAATTAAAACAGTTTACTTATTTATTTATTGTTATTCTATTTGAATTTATTTGCTTTTCACTTTTGCCTTCTATATCAAAATGAAAGAAAGAATACTTGTATCATTAGCAGAAGGAATACTTGTATTATTAGGTTTTCCATCCCTTGCACCAATAAACCAAACAATCCAATCCAATCACTGTTTTCCGAAGCTTGATGATATTTCTCCTAGATGTTTTTCAGTAATATCTTAGTGTCACATCTTGATTTTTAAAGGAAAAAAATAAACAACCATAAATGGCATTCTTGGATTAGGGAATATTTTTTATCATCAATATTTAACAATAAATGGAAAACGTTTTTAAAATTAATGTCTGTAGTTTAATTGAGTATAGAATGAAAATATTGAGTTTTGAGTATTACATTTCATTACATTTTGCAATATAGTCATATGCAAAATGTAATACAAAATATATTTATATTCTATGTTGATTGTTAGTCTGATCTTTGGAGACTTCAATATTTTTAGAAATTCTTTTATGCTTTATTATATTATGACCATTTTTTTGTTTATAATTTTGTTGTTAAATGATTGAATGAATTTTGTGATCTAGTCACTTATATTGTGTTTAGAACAAGGGTACAATTTTTATACTATTTATATTTACAGGATGTTTGTTTTTATTTTGAAAAGTTGTACTTGTTGATGATGAACCAGTAAAGGCATAAGGCATTACAGTTTTTAGTGATTTTAAATATATCAATTATAGTATGCTTAAAATAATCCAAAACTTTATCTGATAAAGTGGGCTATTAACTTATTCTTTCATAATAAAAGCACTGATTGAAAGTAATTCATTTTTATTGTAAAAAATTTATTTGCAATTCATTATAAGAAATTTTATTTCATTTGTTTAAAATATAATTTTTAATATACATAAGTTATTGATATATGATTTTTTTATGTTGTGTTTAACTTCTATAAACAATGAATAAATAATTACAGTAGAGCATCAATTATCTGAATCAATTGGGGACTGGGGTTGTTCAGAAAATTGATTTTTCAGATAACTGATTAATGTACAAAAAATATATTAACCTATCCCATGTTGAAATTCGTTCAAATCCTCGCACATCCTTAAGTACCCTCTCATGGTCGCACCAGTGCTGCCAGCTAAAACACACATACCACCAAAGTAGCCCAGGACATAGCCGAAGATTGCAGGGCCACAAAATTAGCGGAAATTTAAATTTGCTGACTGGAAAGCTTTCGGTTAATTGACGTTTTGATTGATCGATATTTGGATAATTGATGCTCTACTGTATATTGATTTTTAAAAATAAACAATGTATCAAATAAAATTTTATCATTGAATTTATAGAGATTAGCTTCAGCACCTGTTCCTTTTATGGTTCTTTCAATTGTTGGAAATCCATGTAATGAAGATTTTTTGGCTGTTTGTGGATTAAAGGTAAATAGTTTGCCTTTGATGGAAAAGTAATTAAATAGAACTATGTAGAATTTATTCATAGAAATACTTCTTAAGGAAAATTTATTTGATCTGAAATTAATATTTTTTTTCTAAAGTTTATTGAAGGAAAAAATAAATTTGTGTGTGTGCAATTTACCAAAAAATGAGAATATTTTATCTAAATATGTAAATAGCAATGAAATTGATTTTAAGTTAAAGTTTTATTTTATGACTTGTGTAATAAAAAATATTAATTAATTAATTACAAATACTTTATTGTAATAAGAAAGATCTTGTTACAGGGGGTTAACTTTAAGAGAATTACAAAAAATACAATTGATACTTATTGAAACATTTTTTTAAATATCTTGTTACATAAAATTTGCTAAACATAACATATTAATCATTCAATCTACATATCATATTTCAAACTCTTTAAAATATGAACAAAAAAGTAATGAATATTATACTTCTTATACAATGAAATTTTTTCTAGATTGATTCTGAAATTTTCTTCTTAATTTAAATCAAAAATCTCTTTTAATTTAAATTTACTTTACGCTTCTTCTTTCTTTGGACACTCAGTAAGAAAATAATAAATGTTATGTAAAAATGGTTGTAAAGATCAAATAGAACTTATCTACCTGCTGGCAGAAGAAATTAATAAATTTAGTGGTAATTATATCCATTCCAGGAGCTGTTTTCATTTTTAATTTACGAATTGATATATCCAGTTCTTCGGTAGATATTAGTATATCTAAACTTTCGTTGAAAGAAATTTTTATATCAGCATAAGAAGGACCATAATTTCTGTAAATCTGTTAAAAAAAGCTAGCCATCTAGAAGAATCTATTTGCATTGATTAATCACAGTTGAACCATCATAAATTTCTTAATCGTAGACTTTAAAGGTTCATTAGTTTTATTTTCTAAAATTTTTTTTGAAATTTTTTTATAGTAATTTGATTTCTTAAATTTTAATGGATTGAAATACAAATTTTTGGCTTAACTATATTGACTGAATGCCATTAATGTAAATAATTTATTTTTTTAAACTGAAATAATGCTTTTATTATTTTCATTCTTAAATTCATATATCCGATATAACCTTCAATTATTATTATGTGCAGCAAGCAAGGAACTTAATAATTAAGACTCAACAAAACGTAAGGCTTGAATAGGAGTGATTAACTTGATCAAATGTCATTGCGGAGAGTTCTCAGAAGTAAAATACGGGGTAAAAGAGTCCAAGTATACCAGCCCCTCCAACACATAGCTATACGTCAAAGAATAATTGCCCAACAGTATAGTATCACCTCGGAGTTTTGGATATTTACCTGCTTTCCTTAACTCGCTTAAAAAAGGAATTAGTTGTTTACGTCTTAATCTAGATCTTTTTATAAGGTCCTGTGAAATTTGAGTTTCTTTCCATACATTCGATAGATTTTTCTGTTTCATTTTTATAAATCTCGAATATATGTAATCTCTTATTTGGATATTTTTAATAATTAATTTAATTGTTGGATACTGTGATTTAGTTATTGGAATAATCGCTATTAAGTCATCCATTGTAACTTCGTGTAATTCTAATGATTCATTAATAAGTTTAAACACTTCTAGCTTGGTAGGACTAGTTTTACTGGGATATCTATATAACATTATATTATTTCGATGTTGTATACCATACAACATCAAAATAATTAACCATATTGTCCATTCGATATTGCATACTTTCATTTTCTATTTTCAGATTAGCAATTTGTTGTTCAAGATTAATTATTTGGCTATTCATTTTTTGATTCTGGATTTTAGTTTCTTGTATACTATTACGAATCTGATCCAAATCTTCTTTAATAATAGTCATTTGACTTAATATTCTCGTATTAGAAACATTAATTAATTCAGAAATTTTATTCCATAGTGTTATACTTGATATATCAGATGAATTTTTTCCTGGCGAAGAAGACAAAAAATCAAATGGCTCACCTGATAGTTGTGAACGTAGAAGTGTAGTTTCAGGGTTCAAATCTGCGTTTGCAGAAGATGGTTCAGGAGAAGTTCTTTCGACATGTAAATTATAGTCAGTAATTAACCTAGTATTAGTGGTAGAAACAGATTCCTTTCTACTAGTTAATTTTGACTTTTGAAGTGGTGGTCTTCCTCTTTTAATTGGCGAGCGTTGCATATTAATTATGTTGATAGATTTTCCAACAGTTATAATGTAACACACAGCACAAACAAGTAATATTTTAACGTAAAATTATTTGACAGGATACATCTTTACCTATAATTGAAGTGAGTAAAAAAACGCGCCAGCAGCTTCGGCAGACAGAAGCGCCCCCCATAAAAAATATTAATTATGGACATAATAAAGAACACAAAATAAATTTACAAGAACAATAACCAAAAAAAATTTATCACAAAGAACATTATTTTATTAGATGCAAGATTTGTTGACTGACCAAAAAAAAAAAAAAAAAGGAATATGTTCTTTCCTGTGACATAAAATTAGAACATTGAAGTGTAATCTGAATCATTGTAAACAAAAGACAGATACTCGTTACCCCTTTTAGAAGATGAGTTATTTCACATCATGTAATACATATCATTTTAAATTTATGCAAATAGAACAATAAAAATTGGAAATAACAAGAAATAAATATTTTAATTCAATTTAATTCTTTATTGTATGAATCTTAGTTTGTTACAAGAGGGTTAAAGTTTTACATAAAAATTGAAATTAGTACAATTTAACAAATTAATATAATAGCTTAATAAAACATAATAATAATTATTTTTATACATATTATGTAAATCTGAAATTAGTAAAATTTAACAAATTAATTAAATAGCTTAGTGCAGGAAACACAAAATAAAACACATTAAAATAATCATTTTTTTAAAAATGCAATAAATTAATTATATTTTTTCAGGATTTAAATCTTGTCAAATACTTTTTCTTATTTGTTTTAAATTTGATACAGTGAAAGAAGACATACATGTTCCCAAGTTTCATACATTTGCAAACTATAGTTACTGCAAATTCTCTCCGGGTCTATTATTAGTCTAATGTTATACATTATAATATAATTTTGAACACATCACAGCTGTAGAATAAGTTGTTTTACATGATAATTTATATCCAAGACAAATAATCCTTACACATATAAGTTGTTTTAAAAATACAATAGAATTGAAAATGCTTGTTCTTTTTCAACAAAGATCAATCTTCTTGTATGTTCTATTTGCAACACACTTTTATAATTAATGTTTGATAACTTTTGATCAAATGAAGATCTTTAGACAACCATAGAAATAAGAAGCTGTGTTGATCTAACAGATTGTTCAATGCCAATGATCAGTTATATTTATAATTATCCATCATTAAACCTGATTTATACAGTTTGTTATATGCTATTTTAACGTAACTGTTATCATATAGTTTCAACAGTCTAATCCAAAAAGAAACTATCTTTCAACATGATCTAGCAGCTCCAAATAATATGAAAGTAACAACTGAGTGGTTCCAGTTGAATGGCATAGTCATAATTGGACAATGAATTTTTTTCAACATAGAGGTTGTGAAGTGGTTAGCCATTTCCCCTGATTTGAACATGATCAGAAATTTGTGCAGTTATGTAAAGAAATAATTAGAAGAGAAAAACCATTAAATCTTACTGTTCTAAAGCAAAAACGTAAAAATATTTGATCTCAAATAAGTTCAGGTTAAAGTGCAAAATTCTTGGGGTCACTTTCCCATAGACTTGACGCAGTTATAAATTTCAAGGAAGTCCAACTAAATGCTAAAACATAACAAAAGTAGTGTATTCTATTTTATTTTATTTTTTCCCACAGAGAAATAAACATTTTGTCATACACATCAAGTTGTGTTATATATGATGAATAAAGATTTATATTTTCTTGTGAATTTTCGTAAGCTTTCTCATTATATGCTTAATTGATACTTTCATTAAGATATGTATTAATATATATAAAAAGGTTTAAATTTAAAAATATTGTATGGATTAAATTATACATATTGAAAATAAAATAGAATAATTCAAATTGTTCCACTTTAGAACTCAACAAAGCTCTTTTGTCTTTGGAATGGCTTCTAACTGAATTAGGCTTGTAAATTGGGCTGAAAACTATAATAGCTGTTCAGTTTTAAACAGCTATATAAATAGCTGTTTAAAACTGAAAAAGTTTTTAAGTGTGTTGTTCCCAACTTTCTACAGCTCATGACTAATTACCAAGTTTAAAAGTATTTTCAAGTTAATAAAATAAATATGACACTTACATTTTAAATTGTAATTTTGTTATTTTATATTAATATGGAAGTGTTATTAGTAAATAAATAAAATGTCATAATAATTAAGAGAAGAGTAAATAATTAGTTTATTTAATAAAAAATAATAATGATTGCTTATTTAATATAGGAGGAATTCAATAAAATTTTACTGATTATAACTAAACTATTATTTTAATTTTCTATAGGATTGCCATATATTAACTTTTACTAGTTCAGGATCAGTGTTGGATCATCTTGTTTTGCATCCACAACTTGAATCTGGAAATTATATCATAAAAGTAATTTGATTTTATTATTTCTGTTACAGAAAAATTTAATTATAAATTGAAAATTTCTTATATTAATGCTCTATTATATTGAATCTCATAATGAATGGAAAATACCACAATTAAATAATTTTTAATGAAAATTTTCAAATTTGGCTGTTAATATAATAATTATTTCAAATTGCATAAAAAAATATTTAAAAATAGCTTGAATAAAAAACACCTTAATTTTAATATTTACATTTTTCCTACATTAGTCTTTAATATTTTTAAATAATTAAAATTATTTAATTTTCATTGTTTTTTTTAATGGTAACAGATAGATAAATCTAAAAAATGGAATGAATTTTGATTTTGGTATGTTTAAAACTAGAATATTAATAAAAAAGAATTGAAAAATAAAATTTTGTAATATCACAATGATGATATAATGTTTAAATATTGAAAAACATTTAAATAATATCAAGAAGTCAGAAAGTTATTGAACAGTAAATGTTAAATGAAAAAGTTTTACCTAAAAATGGTGTTTAATTACATAGAAAATAAAAAATTTAGATACAACTTAGAATAAACATAAGTAAAAGCAAATATTCTATTGGTTTGTTATATATGAACATAAAATTTACTTTAAATATTTATAGCAGCAAATCTTTTATTTATTCCTTAAAATGTACAGTTTTCAAGTGAAACAATAAATGTTTTTGGGTTATAAAATGTAAAAACACTAGACACCAAGTAATGTTACAAAATTAACAACAAAACTGTCTATTGGCATTATGGAAAATGTTTGTTTATGCAAATGATGTTAATTTTAAAACATTTTTGAGACTTACCAATACTATTCTAAATCATTATTACAAATAAAGAACATAAAATAAAATTTCAAGTAAAATTTATATTATGTTATAATGTGTAAAGTGAAATTGATCATTTAAGATGTTAAGATCATATGGAATTTTATTTAAAACTTACTTTATTACAAAATAATATGTTCTTAGTTTATAACACTGATCTGAAGAGGGAACTGGCAAGTTCAAAGACATTTAATATTTAATAAATTTCTGAATTTTTAATTGTTTTTAAGTGTTTTGAATATTTAGATGTAAAGTGTAGTTTCTTTACATCAATAGAGATTTCCTGAAACTACACTTTAATAAAAGTTTCCTGCTGCATAGTATTTGTGTAAAATTTAAAAACAAATTTGTTTTTTATTTACAGGCTTTATGGTTACCTGGTTCTCAAACAGAACTTGCTTTAGTTACTGCTGAATTTGTGAAAATATATAATTTATGCCATGATGCATTAAGTCCTCAATTTTTTTTCCTACTACCTAGTGGTAAAATACGAGATTGTTGTTTTGTATTTTCTGAAGATGGTCAACGTCACATGATGCTCATGTCTTCTGCCGGACATATATATTATCAGCCAATGGTGGAAGAAAGTTCAGCCAAACATGGACCTTTTTATGTAACTAATATCTTGGAAGTAACTCATTCTGAATTAACTGTAAGTTTTATAAACTATGTATATATAATCACTTTATTAATATAGTATTTCTATAGAAGAAGCATTTATAGTTTAGTCACATTACTTCTGGTATCAAAATATGAAATAAAACAGTTGAAATAGCATTTCATACAAATTAAAATAAATGCTGAAATTCATTTTCACTTCTGCACAAAAATTGCATTGTCCAAATATGTCTTCTAGTAATAGTAGAAAATCAGATTTCATCTAGAAGACCAAAATCTTTAAATATTTTTAGAGTAATTTCTTGCCAGAACATGCAAATTTAAAAATATTTTCTCACTGTTGTGTATTTTAATCTGTTATCTATACAAAAATTAAAGATTTAATAAATAATTTACAGAATAAAAAACATTTATAATTTAATAAATTTAGAGGGAAGAACTATTGAAATAATCAGTTTTATCAATATTTTATATTTTAACTACAGTAGAAACTCAATTACTCAAATCACAATTATCTGAAATTTTGGATTATCGAAAATGATTTCAAAACCAAACAAAAACTAGAACATGTAACATTGTACATACCACAGAGACCAAACTCTCCATGTAACTAGAAATCTCTATCAAATGTCAGTTGTAGTGCCATGAAACTGTCATATACTTGATATTATGCTAGATTTTGAGTAAATTCATTTACCTTCAAATTCTGTAATTGTATTAGTATTTATAGTTCATGAAACTTTAAATGCACAATGTTGATGTAAACAAAGCACATAGAAACAAATTTCTGGAATATCTGAAAGACCCCTGGTTTTATCAACTTTGAACAATCAATATTTCCACAGTATATACGTGTCATGACCAACCGGTGGCATGCAAGGTCTTAATATGCAACTCCCAGTGCTTTGGCAAAGTAATTTTATTTTCCTACTTTCTGCCTCATGCCATTATTCAATCCTAATTAAGCTGATATTTATGACAAAGAACATTCAAATTGAACATAATCAGTAAAAAGATGAGAATAAACTGTGTATATTACTAGTTTGCACATCATTATCATACATTATTTTAGTATCTAGTGCACTGGTAGTTATGAAGTATGATTGTACCAGCACACTTAAAGCCTGCAACTCTAAGAAAAAATATATGCAAACTTCCAGAAGCCTACAATCTTCCCTTGCATCTCACATCCAGAAAAGGTTACTCATCACTGGTACACAGATTAAAACAGCAGGCAGCATAAAAAGTGATTTCCAAAAATAAATGAATATCCTGTTAAGTTTCATTGTAGGAATTGAAACCAAGTTTTTAAAATGAATTTTTGAAAATTGAAACTTAAAATTTTTTTAAAATCATATATTCTTCAATTATCACAGATTCAATAACTATTCTCATTTTCAGAATTCCTTGATTCTGAGAATGGGAAGAATGCTTAATTTAAAATAATTAGTTTTTCAAAACCGCAATGCAGCATAATAATCAACACTTGGCATAACTCATTTATTCATTTCAGTTTTTGTTGAGTTTTGTATACAATCTTGATCCTCATATGTGAATGATGCCATTTCTAAATATATATAAAATAATTATTTGATTCTTACAAAAAAGTTTAAGATTTTAATTCTATATTATTAAAACTTTTAATAAATATTAATAATTTTTTTTATTTTTATTTTAGGATTCAAATGGAACAATTGGTGGTGGAGGTGTGTCCATTTATTATTCCCACACTTTACAATTATTATTTTTTAGTTATTCTCAAGGAAAAAGTTTTATTTCTCCATTCCCTCAAGTCGTATCAGAATTAACTAATGTGTTCTATGTGCAACTTAAATCTTCTAATGGAAGTGGAAGTAGTACAAAACCTACACCTCAACCACTTTGTCAATGGTCAGAAGTTCCTCATCATCCTGGATTAATATTAGCTCAGTTACAAACTTCTAATAATCCAGTAATACTTATGGTTAAACCCGATGCAGTATTAGTTCAGGAAATTAAATTTCTCACTGCTAAATCAAAAATTACTGATATGGTTGCAATTCGTCATTCAATATCATGTGGAGAAATGCGTACTACACTAATATTACTCTGTGAAGATGGTAGTTTGAGAATATATATGGCTAATCAGGATCAAACTGGATATTGGTTGATGCCTGCCTTTCAGCCTACTACCGTGCCTACTCATTTAAAACCATCTAAGAAAAAAAAAGCTACAAAAAGTGGTCGCCCCACAGGAGTAATTTCTTTTCCAATAGATTTTTTCGAACATTGTACTGCAATGCCCGATGTTGAATTTGGAGGTAACGATGTATTACAAGTTTATAATGTGCAGCAAGCAAAACATAGATTAAACACAACAGGTCTTTACATTGCAAGCACTAAACCTGCAGGCTTTCAAATTGAAGTTTATAATTCTGATTCATCAATGGTTATGGTTGGTGCACGTATTTTAATTGGTAGTCAGGATATTCAAAGATTTCCTTCATACATAGAAATTTTTGGACGCACCATACAAGCTTCTCTTACCCGTAACCGTTGGTATGATTTTCCATTTACACGAGAGGAATCATTAACTGCTGATAAAAAACTGACAATAATCTTTGGAGCTAGTTCTGATCCTGCAGGTGTAACTATGGTCGACTCAATAAAAATTTATGGCAGAACTAAGGAAGCATTTGGATGGCCTGAAGATAGTGATGATTTCACAACAGCAACTGGTTCAAATGCTCAAGGAGGTTACTCAATTGTCGGTATGGATGTAGATGGTATTCCTGCTGCTCCTTTACCTTTAACACCTCTTGATAGGTAAATGTACAAAATTTTACTCAATTAATGATTAACAAATATTTGTCAAAATAAGTTTCTTAGTTCTTGAAGATTGTTAGCAATTAAAACTTTTAATAAAGCATAATCTTAAATAATAAATTTATCACAAAGAAACCATAAATGCATATTAATAGAATTAAGTTGATTATAACAAATCAACTTAATTCTATTAATAGTTATTTACTAAAAGCAGTGGCTTTCAGTAGGAAGTGGAATAAGGAAAAAAATTTCTGTAAAATATTCAAGCTTTTCAAAATATCAACACTTTTTTAAAAATTAAAACAAATGTTTTGATCTTGATGGAACCTATCAATAATTTCTAATAGTGACAGCATATTATTATTCCTTAGTGATTGTTACAGAAGTGTAAGGAAAAAATTGCATATTTTCACTGAAATTTTAGTTTTTTAATATTCGTTTTAAATTATAAAATATATTAGTTTTCATCATTTATTTACACATAACTGTTATTTTAACTATTTATCTTATTTTACTACTAAACTTTTTTTAGTAATAATTATATCATTTATCTGTGTTTTATTTAATACATAGAATACAGACCAAACCTAGATCATATAAACAGAGACAAGCTTTAATCTCAGTCTGGTAGAGTAAATGAATTTCTCTCTTTGTGAGCTTCATTTGGAACTTTTAGTAATTGTTTAAATTTGAAAAATTGTTGTTAGAACTGTTAAATTTGATTTTTTTTTAATGCATGTATGCTTGAAGATGAGTTAAGACACTTGTGTTTTCTGTTTATTATTATTATTCAAAACTCTAAAACTAAATTTAGAAGATTATAGATTACCTTTGGCTATGACTTCAAAAATTGCATTCTGCAAATTTAATCAAGCTTTGAAATTTTTGTGACGACAGTTATATATTTTTAAATTTTATTAAGGTTTTTTTATTTATTTAATATTATTTAAAATTCTTTATTTTCAACATAATCTTTAGAAAATAACTTCAACATTCAACCAGAAATATATATTTATTCTGTTACATGATTCAATGCACACAAAATGCTAGCTTTAATATAATATTTTTATCTGTATTGTAATTTATTTTTAACTGGAACAATGTTATTTTTTCTTTTTTTATATTATAAATTCTAGATGAATCCTTTGTCACTAATCAATGAATAATTTGTAAACACCATATTTATTCATCAAAATTTGCAACGCATTTTTTGAAGGTGATGTTTGGTAAGAATATGAGAATAAAAGAGTGTAAGAGTATGTTGGTTTTTTGCTGTTTATCATCAGCTGAGTATAGACAATGAAAGCCCAAAACATGCAGTGCAAAATAGTGTACTTAATTTCTATTCATGTATTTATGTAATTTCAAATTGTGTTGGTTGGTTATGAAAGATTAATTTAGAACTTACTGTAATTGCTTAAAAATTTTAATTGATTTATTATAATTAAAATAAATTTGTTATATGTATTTATTATCTATATTTTATTTTATTAAAATATTTTACTATTTTAATCCTTATTTTCTAAATTTACATGTTTCTTTTTCATACAATATAAAGAAAACAAAATCCTCTTTATATAAAAGTGTCCAAAATTAAAGCAACACAAACAAAACCTGTATAAAATCAACATCATGCAATGCGAGTACCTGAAATTTTCATCATATGTAAATCAGCAAAGTTACATCTTATCATGCAAGTGTCATGCAAATGAGACATGATAGCAGTACATCCGTCTGAAAAAATGTAATGTGCTATTTATACAGTGAAATCATTTTTGTCAAAAAATTGTCTGCTACAACTGCTGACAGTGAGGAAATGTTTGATACACGAGTGGCTTATGCAATTCTCATAGAAGGCATTTGGATGATTTGTTGTGATGGAGGGCTGTTCATTTCTGCATTTTTGCCATGTACAGTACTTACGTTTGTGTGTACTTGCATTTAATTTTGAACATGAGCCTAATTTAGTCATCAACTTGTTCCATTTATATATGTTACCGACCAAACCTGATTTCAGGCCAAACTAGTTTGTCCTACACATGTCAGGATATACTAGTTTAGCCTAGGATAATCTAGTTTATCCCAGTTTGACCTAAGCTGAACTGATTTATGTACTACAAATAGGTGCCAGTGTAAAAAAAATGATTTTGTGTAATTCAAAATGCCACCACAGTACACCTGGTGGTTAAAGTGTACCTAGGTAACTCCAATGGTGGTGCTTTGGTTAGGTTGATTTGGTTAGGTTAACTACATTTTTAGTAGACGTTTCCTTTTTTCTTTTGTTCAAGAACTACCGTGAATCACTAACTAGTGACATTAAACAATGGGCGGCCTACCAGCGGCTCCCCTCAGGAGGAGTCTTACGGGAGCACAAACAGTCCAAAGTGCCGCCATTGGGGTTACCTAGATACACTTTAACCCACCTGTTAACCCTGTAACCACACTTTAACCCTGTAAAAAATAAATAAAGGATTAAATATTTTATATGTTACACTAAGAAACACAAAACAAACAAGTTCATTTTTAATTTTAGTTTCACTTTAAAAGTTATTTTTATTATTTCATTTGAATTTTTGAAAATATTTTCGAAAGTTAATTACCTTTAAAAGTGCATGGCTTAATGAAAAAATACAAACTGATAAGTACTGATTAGCTTATTTTATTTTATAGTTTAGTACAAGTGTTGTGTCACTTCTAATCAATATTGTTTTTTATAATTAAGTAGACTATGTTTGAATAAATGTTTGTTCATCTAATTGATTGCCTTTTAATTTTATTTTAACCATTAATATACTTAAATCAGGCCTGGCCAACGCACGACCCATCACATTAAATTGTGTGGCATGCTAAGCAACATTATATATCTATTAAAACTTTCATTTTCCATTTTGTGTATACCAAAACAATTAAATAAATGAAAATTTGCATGTTTCATTGTTATAATGTGCAAGTGCAAGTATGAACTCTTGGTATAACAATGTAATCTTATTCATTTTGTATTTGTTTTACTTTTTTAAAAGCATGTTTACCTAAATTGTGGCCCATTGTAATGTTACGCGTGATTAAAGTGGCCTGCAAAACAATTTGGGTTGTCCAGGCCTGACTTAAATAATAATTCTGAATCAGTTTGGCTAGGACAAACTAGTTAAGCATAAAGTATTTAGGTCAAACTAGATTGTCCTAGGCTAAACTAGTATATCCTGACACGCGTAGGATAAACTAGTTTGGCCTGAAATTGGGTTTGGCCGGTAACATATATACTATAATTTTGAAACTGTTATAATACCAATATAACAAATGCATTTAGTTTGAATTGTTTGTATTTCTCATCTGGTGTTACCTCAATTAAAATTGACAGTTTGTAAATATTAATTATTCATGGCATGTTGCTTTTAAGTTATTTTGCTTAATGCATTATTCTGATTTTCTGAACATTTGAGTTTTTAAATTTCTCAGGTTTATGTTGACATTTTAAAATATATTATATACATAAATGATTAGCCAAGAAAATTCAAATAGTAATAATTTGCTATAATTCATGAAATTTTTATTTTAGATTAGTAGGAAGTAGTATGGAATTATTAGATGGATGCTTTTCTGTAAGAGCATTGACAGAAGAGAAGGATAATTTAAAGACTGCAGCTCTTGAAATGGCTACTCAAATGTTGACCCTTCCTACGCCTCCTGCAGTACATCAGCATGTGAAAGCATTACTTGCTGTTCTTCATAATAATAGGACTGCATATAGTAACCATAAAGTAAGTACAGTAATTAAAATTATGTAATTTTTATATAAGTCTAATTCTAAGAACATAGTTTATTTAGAAAAGCTGATTATATTCTATAAGCTTTACATATATTTTTTTCACTTTTTTAAATTTATTAATAAACTTTAACTTTATATATAACTATTTAATAAAAATTTAACTTACTGTGTTTCATTCTTAAAACAAATTTTTCTCTGAGATTGCTTAAAAAAACTGTTTATTTTGTAATTTTAAATTATTTTTAATGTTTATTCATAAAATACAAACATTTTTCTTTTCATAAATATTTAAATGAATTTTCTTTCAAAAAATTTATTTTAGAAAAAAGTTATCTTCAACTTACATTAAAAAAAATAAAAAAAAAAAAAATAATAATAATAATAATAATTCAGATTAGTGATGGGACAATACCAAAATTTCTCTGGATTCCAGTTCTGCCAAAAACTCCCAATTCCAATATGATTCCTGATTCCAGTTCTTTTGAATACTTTCTAAAATTTATTTTAATTTATAAAAATTAACAATTTACATTGCAAGCATGGTACATTCATTAATTAATAAACATCAAGCTTAAGAATGGAAAACAATTGGAAAATCCATAATCAATCTTTTGAAAGAAAATGAAAACTTTCCATTTATATGTGGATATGCATGCTTTTATTGTGTATTACATAATATCAATAAATTTGTAATCTTATTTTGAATAAAGTTATTATTGCAACACTGTCCTCAAAGAAATTACAGTTAATTCCTTTTTATTCAGCCAAAGAAATATAGTCATGAGTTAACTGATTTTTGAATTCATTCACTTAAGCCCCAAATATCTAGACTGACTTGTCTTGAAAAATCAATTTTTAAAACTCAAAACAGCATTAAACTTAGCATGATCAAGTATTTTTATTCAGAATTGTGCAAATTGCATTTGAAAATTTAACATATTAAGGCATCACCTGTGAATCATAATAAAAACAAAATTATGAAAATTTTTCCATAATTATAAATGAGAAAGCCATTTTATCATTATAAGTAAACATACTAAATATTAAAAATAATTTTATATAATATTTTTCAATTAAAGTATAATTTTGTTTACATTTTAATTGTTTTGCTGACACTTACAGGTAAATATTTTTGCAACTGCTGGCCTTGATTTGAAACTTGATAGTGTGATAATTCAATCAATGTTAACGTGCATATAATTAAAATTTTTAAAAAGCAGACAAATTTATGAAACAAAAAATTTATGGAATTACCAAAAAAATTAAAATTAATTTAAATTTGATTAAGTTTTGTGTGAAACAGCACTAAAACAATTTCTATAGTTATGTTGCAAAAAAAAAGAATTGCAATTAAAAAAGTTGTAATTAAGGGTTAAAAAATGCAGGCAAAATTAAATAAATAAAAATTATTAAAAATAATAATTAAAACTCTGGTCTTTATACTGAAACCAAAAGTAAAATCAAATTAATTAAAATTAAAATCAAACAATGTTTTTAAAAACCATTTAAAAATTTGTTTTGAAATATTCAAATTTTAAAAATTTGTTATTTGTGTAGTGATGACAGAACATTTTGCTTTTAATATATATATTAAAAGCAAAATGTAATATATATATATATATGAATACAGATTGTTAGTGAAGCCAGTCCAATGCTGGCCAGATGGCAACCCAAGTCATATCTCCCCTAAAATGGGGACAGGACAATTAGTACCAGCTAAGTGCAATCTCTCATTGCTCTGACTTCACAAAAGAAAACTCTGCCGTGACAAACATCATCTCACATATGGGGCATCACACATGGGCTTTATCAACATGAAAGTTTCCAATAAACTAATATTTGATTGTTAATATTGTAATTTTAAAAAATTTAATCTTTGACTGAAACAAATAATTCCTTTTCTTGTTAAATGTGGAAGAATCATTTTTAAGAATCAGGAATCCAGACAAGATTTTCTCGGTTCTGATACCCAGAAAATGTCCAATTTTTCTGATTCTGATTAATCGTCCCATCACTATTTCAGATACATCGAAACATGTAAGCAATGTTTTTAAAAACCATTTAAAAAGTTGTTTTGAAATATTCAAATTTTAATTTTAAAAAAGCCAAACTGAAGAGGGACTTTTGGTCATTTCAGACCAAAGGTCCCTCTTCAGTTGGCTTTTTTCTATTGGTCCAAAATGCATCTTGGCAAATATAATATAAAATAGTAATTTAAAAAGGCTGTCTACATATAATAAGCTTAACATGAAATTATTAAGACTGTAATTGTAAATTTTAATTAATAATAAAGCCTAATATTTTATGGGCTAAACACAACAAAAAGAAGGAATAACAAATTTGAAGATTTATAAACTAACCAAAAATGTTTCTTTTGATTTCATATTTGCTGTTGAAATATGAAGGTATTCTACTGATGCATTACCATCTCTACTATAAAATTACTCATTGTATATTATGTAATTAATGAAATATTCATTACTCGTTGGTTGATAATTCAAGTATTTTAAGCAATTTAATTTTATGAGTTTAATTCATTAATATTTATATTGCTAATATCTGAAAAAACTTTAGACATTTTATTGGTGTTTAAAACTCTTAATATAATTTTTTCCATTGCTAACTCTACAAGTAAATGATTTTTTCCATCTTATCTTTTATGAAAACAAATGGTAAACTAATGAATCAATTTATTTTTATATATTGTATAGAAGTAAAATCTTTTCTATAATATAAAATGGACTTTAGATATTCATAAGTTTTTAAAATGGCATGTATATAGATCAAATCATACTTTTACTTTGTTTAGGATCAAGCTCTTTTGAATTATGTATTACAATGTCTTAATTGTGAAGGAAAACCTTCTGAAGAAATGGATGGTGAAGCCTTTTATCGCTTGATCTCAATAGCTAGAGGTGTTGCTGTTTCTCGTCCATCAAATTTAGTCAGATTTGCAGAATCACAGGATCAAACATTAGTAGATGAAACTAGTGAAGGAGGTAAAATATATTTTAAAACATTTAAAATAATATATCAAAATTTTTAATTCAGATAACTCTCTTACTTTATTCTAATTCATTTAGTTTTAATAATAAATTTTTTACTGAGATTCACTTTAACAGGAATTTGAACCAATATCATTATAAAAATTTTCATAAAATAGAAAACAATAATAATTTAAAATAGTGCAGACACACTAAATAATAGCTAGCATCTTAATATTCAGCTTGAAACACTATAGGAAATTTGCATAATGCAAAAAATAAGTCTTCCACAAATGCCAGTCTCCATGCCAGTATTAGTTTTGGATCCATCTGTGTACCAGACTAAATCCTGTGGATGAAAGGTCACCCTACCCCTAATTCCAGTCAAAGAAACTAGGAAAGTAGACCAAATAATGCTTGTCAAATTTAAACCAAGGTAACATTTTGTCAGAATTAATAAAGATGTCTTCCTTCAAAATGTCTCTCAGTAGAGACAATTGATCAAAAGAGCATGCTCTGAAAGTAAGCTGACCATTACACTTCAGCCTGTAAAGGATCCTTCTTTCTTCTGTGTGTGAATAGGTAAAGGAAGAAAGGTTTAATACAACCTCGAGAACTACCTAGGATTATAAACATGACCCTGGGTAGTTATCCCATATAGTAGGCATATAGTATGCTGCAAACTTTGCAAGTTTATTTGACAGTTCTTTCAAAGTATCTTAGGCCACCAAATTAAGGCAGCATAGGCAATTTTAGGTCAAACTATCATAAAATAAATCCAAAGTAGGACATGTGGTTGCAGACATCAAAATTTACCAAGAGTAGTTCTGCATAACCAGAAGATATATCTGACATTATCTAGCATCATCTCCAGCTGCAAAATTCATAAAAGGTTAGAGTCAAGCATTACCCCAACATATTTGACTGAAGAAAAAATTGAACTCTGTGAGGGCACAGAAAAATTCCTCAAAGTCCTTCTGTGAGTAAAATGAACAATAACCATTTTGTCAGAACTGATGCTTAAGCTGTTAAACTAGCAGCAGCTCTGCACATTACATAGGCATCTTTGAAGAAAGTCTTGATAGTGTTAGGAAATTTCCCAACACAAAGCAGAACAATATTGTCTGCATATCCTGAGTGTACAACCTAAAGCTAATTAAAATCCCTTGAGACCACCCATAACAAGATACCACAGCAAAGATGAGAGAACATGAAGGCAGCCTTTCATGACAGATATACTTGGGGAAATTTCAAAAAACAAGATCACTACGANATTTTGCTTAATGCATTATTCTGATTTTCTGAACATTTGAGTTTTTAAATTTCTCAGGTTTATGTTGACATTTTAAAATATATTATATACATAAATGATTAGCCAAGAAAATTCAAATAGTAATAATTTGCTATAATTCATGAAATTTTTATTTTAGATTAGTAGGAAGTAGTATGGAATTATTAGATGGATGCTTTTCTGTAAGAGCATTGACAGAAGAGAAGGATAATTTAAAGACTGCAGCTCTTGAAATGGCTACTCAAATGTTGACCCTTCCTACGCCTCCTGCAGTACATCAGCATGTGAAAGCATTACTTGCTGTTCTTCATAATAATAGGACTGCATATAGTAACCATAAAGTAAGTACAGTAATTAAAATTATGTAATTTTTATATAAGTCTAATTCTAAGAACATAGTTTATTTAGAAAAGCTGATTATATTCTATAAGCTTT